TTGACCGACATTTTTACACACAGACCCTTTTACACACAGACACGTTTACACGCAGAAGCTTTTACATCTAGACGCTTTTCCACACAGACGCTTTTACACACAGACTCTTGTACACACAGACGCTCTTATAGACAAAACCTGTTACACACAGACTCTTTTACATACAGACGATTTACACACGGACGCTTTTACACACAGACGATTTTACACACAGACGCTTTTACACACAGACGCTTTTACACACGGACGCTTTTACACACAGACGCTTTTACACACAGACGCTTACACAGAGACTTTTACACACAGTCTCCTTTAGACACAGACGCTTTTACACACAGAAACTCGTACACACACAGACGCTTTTACACACAGAGACTTTTAGACCCTTTTACACACAGACGCTTTACACACAGACACTTTTACACACAGACTCCTCACAGAGACGTTTACACACAGAAACTTTCACACACAGAAACTCCTTTACACACAAATGCTTTCACATATATAAAGACCGGACCCGTGAAATCGCAATTTTTTCTCAGTTTTTGACGTCCAACGTCCATTTCGTGCGAAAGGGTTGCGCCGTGACACCTTTTTTCGCAATTTTTCCTCAGTTTTTGACGTTCAACGTCCATTTCGTGCGAACGGGTTGCCGGGGCCACCTCAAACTCGCAATTTTTCCTCCGTTTTTGACGTTCAACGTCCATTTCGTGCGAAAGGGTTGCCCGGGGACACCTTAAATCGCAATTTTTCCTCAGTTTTTGACGTCCAACGTCCATTTCGTGCGAAAGGGTCGCGATGGACAAAGTAAACTCGCAATTTTTCCTCAATTTTTGACGTCCAACGTCCATTTCGTGCGAAAGGGTTGCGTTGGACAAAGTTAAATCGCAATTTTTCCTCAGTTTTTGACGTCCAACGTCCATTTCGTGCGAAAGGGTTGCGTTTCGTGGCGCTCCGGTGGCACCGCCCCCGCCTTAAGAGAGAATAGAAAGAAGAGCGAGAGGAGATCTGCAGATGTGAAGGTGTGAAGATGTAGATCAGCAGATGTGAAGGTGTGAAGATCTAGATCTGCAGATGTGAAGGTGTGAAGATCTAGATCTGCAGGTGTGAGGGTGTGAAGATGTAGATCTGCAGATGTGAGGGTGTGAAGATGTAGATCTGCAGATGTGAGGGTGTGAAGATCTAGATCTGCAGGTGTGAGGGTGTGAAGATGTCGATCTGCAGGTGTGAGGGTGTGAAGATGTAGATCAGCAGGTGTGAGGGTGTGAAGATGTAGATCAGCAGTTGTGAGGGTGTGAAGATGTAGATCAGCAGGTGTGAGGGTGTGAAGATGTAGATCAGCAGATGTGAGGGTGTGAAGATCTAGATCTGCAGGTGTGAAGGTGTGAAGATGTAGATCAGCAGATGTGAGGTGTGAAGATGTAGATCAGCAGATGTGAAGGTGTGAAGATGTAGTATAACGGCTGCTTTTTTACGAAGAACCCTTCGCAGGCGCTCTCGGGAAAAACACAGTGAATCGCGACTTTCCTACCTTTTCGCGCATCTCCATCTTCTTTCTTCTTACTCTTTCTCTTCTACTCTTCTCTCTTCTGATCTTTCTCTTTTCTCTGCCTCTGCCTCTGCCCTGCTCTGCTTTTCATCTGTCCATATTGTCGGAAGTTTGACTTCTAAACTTCCTTCGAATATTATTAGTATCACATCGACTAGGTACCAAGCCGTAGTAGCTTCGCAGCATCCCATCCATTCCATCCACAGCGCAATCCTCACGCTGCGCAAATTGGTGAAGCAGTGCGCTATCCTCATGGATGCAACTAGTAAACCTCTTGTCTACATTCGGTCAAATGTTGTCTGAACCAAAATGGAAAGGACAACTAGCTTTGTCTGCTCAGGCATGTTTTGGACCCGGCCTGGTTGGACACAATGAGAGATACGCAAGGCTGAAACGTCCCAAAAGCCAAAGCTTCCAAGCCGGCGAGCAACTGCACACTCAATGTGACCAAGGCATCAAAGACAAATGCAAAATGACACCACCCGCAACAAATGGGAGACAAAGGGAACCAAGCATGGGCACAAGGGGGGACAAGGGGAGACAAGGGGAGACGAGGGGAGACAAGGACAGACAAGGGGAGACAAGGGGAGACAAGACCCTCGGGAAGGCGGACACACCATCCAACAAAGGGAAACAAGAAGGAATACAAGGGGACAAGGGAAGACAAGGGGAGACAAGACCCTCGGGAAGGCGGACACACCATCCAACACAGGCACATGGGAGACAAGGGGAGACAAGGGGAGACAAGGGGAGACAAGGGGAGACAAAGGGAGACAAGACCCTCGGGAAGGGACACACCATCCAACACGGGCACACATGTAGGGAGACAGTGGGAGACAAGGGGAGGCAAGGAAGACCCTCAGGAAGGCGGACACAGCATCCAACACAGGCACACATGTGGGGAGACAGTGGGAGACAAGGGGAGACAGTGGGAGACAAGGGGAGACAAAACCTTCGGGAAGGCGGACACACCATCCAACACAGGCACACATGTGTCACTTAAAAGGCAGGAAGGTAATTGAGTGGAAAAAAAGGTTTCATCAAATCAGACAAATAATATTGCAAGATCAATACCATTCAATTCCAAAATTTCAATAGCACAGAAAATGATAGAAAATGTCAACTATTTATGAAACCAGTTGAAACCATATGAACTCAAATGAAATCATGGTTCAGCCAAGTTCTCCACAAAACCAAAAACATCTCACAAAATCTAAAGCATAGCCTTAATGTCCTGGCAACCCAAAACACCACAAAATCAAAAACATGGCTTAAGGTGTCCTCTAAAAGGAACCCAAAAATGTCCCTCTACAAAATCAAAAACCTGCTTGGAGGTGACTCAAGATACCCAACCATCTCCCACAAAAACATGTTTTGTGCCAAACGTTACCGTGTTAGATTTGTAGGGACACTTTTCTGGAGGTATGCAAATTGCATGATTTACTGACCTGCCAGGAGCTCCTCCAAAAGCACGATGGTCAAGGAAGGAGGACAGCCAGGGGCGCAAACCTTTGACCAAGTGTGAGCCCCCAACTCACCAAATAACTGACGCAATGGACAAAGGTCGCCAATCATTCGCCCCTTTAGGCAAAAGCGCAACACGCGCGCACTTCCAAATTGCTGGCACCTTGCCAGTCTGCCAAGTGTTCCACAGAACCGCGAACCCAGACCACCACAGAATTGGCAGCAAGATGAGGGCATCTGCAGACCATCGACGCCATCTGCCTTGCCACACAAGACCTCGTAAGCTTCTTGAAGCTCTTAGCACCCCACGGCGCCCCCTAAGTGCTGCAAGTCATCCAAGCTGGGAGGACGGCTGGAGGACCACAACGAGCCAAGCACCTGCTGCTGTTCAGCTACAATAATTCCAGGGTGGATAGCAGTCATTGAAACATCCACGCCAGGAGAGAAACTTCAGCAAGCAGCTTCACCCGCCGCTTGATCCAAGTGATTTGCTCTGCCAAATTGCCATGATTGTTTTCGCGCCAAGTTCTAAAACGAGAGCACTTATGCTCGGCTTCCAGTCTTGCGCAGGCATCTGAAAGCGTTTGTAAACCATCTAATTCATGCCAGTCATGAACTTCTCGGATGCGACCTGCGAGAGCAACCAAGCCTCGAAGACAGATGCGGCGAAGGGCCACATGATCTAGCTCACGCTGCAACTGCAAACAAAGCCGATGAAGCCGACGCACCCGACTCAAGAGTATGGTCCCCGACTGCTGCGCTGATTTGGCTACGCCACGGAATCTCACTGGTGCCAAACTCCCTGGAGCGTAATCACATGACTTGTGGTCATCTGATTGTAAAGCAAATTCAGCCGATGCAGACAAAGCCTGCAGCGCAGCATCTGTCGCAGCCCTTCTCAACAAAGCAAGAAAAGAAGGCTCATTCCAGATTCCAAACCTGCAAAAAAGCGGGTTGCAACATCATCAGCATTCCTTGTGAGATCCAGAGGCATCTGCTTGGGCGGGCGCGGGCATGTGGTATCCAAATTGTCAAACCTGTGGGGTCTGCAACGCCGGCATAGCGCATTAAACGTTGGGGGCAAAAATTGCCAGAGCACAAACCATAGTCAATTCGCCTCATACTGTCCTTCCTTGCATTCCTTGTGGGAAGGGGGAGAGACATTACATTGGGCCAAAAGAATCATCCATCGCATCAGCCCCCGGTCTGGAAAGGACACCAACCATGCCGGAGGCCGTCTGAAGGGCGTTGAAATCGCCAAGAACCAGGAAAGGAAAACCCCATGCTGCAACAGCTGAATAGAAGAGCTAACCGCTCTATCACGAAGGATAATTCAAGAAAAATGTCTAAACATAACAAAGCCACATCGCAAAATCACAGTCATGAAACAATTCCCCCAATGAAACTCCGCATGAACAGACTATTGTTTCCTCAAATATACTTTTCCAACAAAAAGCAGTGAAGCCTAGAACACAATGGATTTGCCAGCAAAAGTGACCAATAATTAGCCAAAACATGAGGATATCTCGACTACTGATTCTTTCTCCCTAAGTAACTCCGGCTAGGCAACCTTTTGGGAAATCGTCCCCATGAAGGATTTTTATGCAACAGGCACACCTTTCACCACCTACTGTGTATATGTATATATACATGGGGTATACAGTGTATACACACGGACTCTTACCTACAATCATCATACGTGACTTAAGCCATCGAGGGGCCCTCGGTAAAATGAGAAACCAAGAAACGTTCTTTGCTTCATGCCCAATGATCCCAATGTCCGACTCTGAACTTTGCCAGGATGCTGCTCGTGGCGCAGAAAGTACGTCGCTTGCCGCTTGCTTCTGCTTGTCCTGGAAGCCAAGTTCTGCATGGATCTGTTCTTTCAATAGCGAGCATGTGGCGCATGTCGCGCATGTCACACCTTGAGCTGCTTCATGATGCGATCATCCTCAGCAGCCCACGCCTGAGCAGAATGGGTTTCCTGCAAATCTTAGGCCACCCTTCAGTCCAGTTCCATTCCAATGTGTTCTTACGAATTGTATAAAATATATAAAAGTATATAGATAGCTAGATGATAGCTAAATGATAGCTAGATGATTATAGCTAGATCGTGAAAACGTGTAAAAATGTCAACTGGTGAAAAATCAATGCCACAGGCTGCTGGCGACCGCAGGCAACTGGCCACAGCTCCGCCATGTTCCGCCTCTGCATCTTGCCCTTGAGCAAACTCCAAGAGTGCAGTTCGAAGCGATCCTGAAGCTCGACAAGCACCTGAGAAAAGGGTCGTCACAGCAATCGGCTCAGATTCTGGAGCAGTTTAAAGCTTTGTGAAAGAGCATTTCAGTTTATTCCTCAACATCAGACGGACAATACTACTGTAGCAATCTGTTTCTCCGCAAAATCAAAGACACGTGGAAAGTCTGAACAGTTTAGTCGTTCCTCCTCCCCTCAGTTTCTTATTCTTTGTCGTATCTGTTTGCCACGCTCATATTCATTTCAGCTCTACTTGGCATTTGATCACATTTGATATTTCTTCTCATGTTTGCTCAAATGATTCCACATGATCCACCTGTCATCCTGGTCTGTCAGGGAGCCAGCCAGTCTTTGGGCTTCGTTTGCCAACCGCTCGTGACCTTGCAGGCGCACGGAAAGTGCTACGTATTTCCACCTATTGGAATCTGCAAGCTCGACTGACAACAAGCCTGCAGCCCTGCTCAGAACATCTGAACATTTCATGCTCTTTGCCAAAGAAAAGAGTCTCAACATGTTTCAACGCCTTTGAGCTTGTAAATTCAAGCACGTACTCCACACCCTCGGTGATAAAAAATATCAACACTTCCACCCTTCCAGCCTTCTTTGGAATCTCCCACAGCCACTTTCGCTGGAAAGACCGACACCGTGGAATGTGGCGGGCACGGTTCACCAGGTGGCCTTTTAACGGGGAGCGGCGAGGAACAATCTCTCCATCTGGGACAGCTGTCAACCCAAACATTCCCAAACCAAAACATATTGGGAAATTTTGGGAAACATGTTGAGAAATGTTGAAGATTTTGAACAAATTGTCTGAACATGATCACCACTATGAATCTTTCTCACGGGTCCTCGCATGATCGCGGTGAGACGTGCCTTGGAATTCTCGGCGACAGCGGCGGCGGCTGGCGGTCCTGCCAGCCGTAAAGGTTTGTGCCCCGGACCCTCACACTGATGCACCACTTTTGAACACTTTTGTGCGAACCAATATTGACCAAGCGCGGAACACGGAAGCCAGAAAGAGTTGCCTGAAATGAAAGTTTGATTCGATGATTCGTGTCCAGCAAGTACGATCCCTGTACTGTTGTGCCGCTCCAGAGGCATCTGGCCGAAGTACTTCTTGCTCCAGTTCCGGCCATTTTTGAAGCACACGAATCCGGCAAAGCCTTCTTTCAGCAATGCCTGGCTAAGCACAGTTCATCCGTGCAGTGCAGTTAGAGCTGTGGTGCCACCTCGAGGGATGATATTATGATATATTATGATCCTATGCATTGAACTGCTTCGCAAAATCCTGTTCTTTGTTTCGAAAGAATTCGCTCCCATCATTCCAAAAGAACGTCAAGATACATCAAACTATCACACTAGACTAGACTCTACTAGGCGTTCCTGCATGACCACACAACACCTCACCTCGCCTCCGCTGCGTTGTCAAAATGGCTCAGGGGTATCCTCTGAGGCGCCTTGCCACAGAATCCATCCCACTGCTCTGCAGCTCGACAGCTCGACTCGACAGCTCGACCCAAGCGGCACCTCGCCTCAGGGGACCACGCCAGCGCTGCGAGGATCAAATGTCGGAGCGCCGCCCGGGCCACCTCGTCCTGCCTCGTCAGAGAACAAGAAGTGGAAGACGATCCAAAGATGTCCAAAGCTTCGAAGCCACACCCCAAAAATCCATCTCCCAAGAACCTTGCGCATACTGCTTGTTGGGTCAAGGTTGTTGGGTACACAAGTTTGGTGGACCATTTTCTTCACGTACCTACTACACTCAGTGTAGATCTGGGCTCCTTGCGGCATGTGCTTCATCTCTGGTACCTTAGCTCTCAGGACCTTGGCCTATGTCAACAACGCCTTCCCCGCCCAGAATGAAGGCGAGGCGCAAAGAAAAATGCTGTCGTCCTCAGCCATGACATCGTTAGAAAGACAAGAGTGTCTTTCGAATGCGATGGAAAAAAACATGCCGTTTGGTTCTCACATCAATCTGCGCTACTTCCACCACAGAAAGACGGTCCCTTGGAGAGCTATAGGCCAGTCAATGAAACTAAGAATCTGAAGTGTCTTTATATGTCTCAGCACTTGTCCATTCCCAGTCCGAGAGTCGCATTGGAATCCGGCACATTTTCAAAAGTCCTCTGGAGGTACTCATCCCGGGAAATGCCCGCACGAAAAAAGTCCTCTCCAGATGAAGAAAGCCATGCAAGAACTTAAACCAATGACAAGAGTGTTCATGAAGTGCTGGTTCAAACAGGCTATATATGGGTCAAAACCTTGGTATCCAAGTGACCACCAAAATAGTTGGCAACTGGGTGTTCATCCCCAAAATGTTGTGTTTTAGGTTTTGGCTGATCCCCGGGTTTCATAAACTGCTTCCTAAAGGAAATTGATGCTCCTGTCCACCCAGCAACATCACGGTCACGGCACCTGGGCACTCAATTGTTGCATATGTGTGCTGTCTCGCCGGTGCTTAACTTGATAACCAATTGTTATGCTATACCATATATACCTGATGTCAAGGGCTTGCAAAACATCCAATCACTTGCCCTTATTGCCCTTATCAAGTGCCTAAAAGGTGCTAAAAGGTGCTAAGAGTTTCAAATCATGGAACCAGGACCAGAGACAACTCATTGGCCGTGGCACGCTCAGGCCAACAAATAGGAGGCCCAGGTAGCCGCATGGCACAGCCGCCGTTCACAACTACACCTCAGATCGATACTTCTGAAAGATCATCTCACTGGCAAAGGAAGTCATGCCCTTACAAAATGATGCTTCCATCGTCAAACAGAACCTGAAATCTCATGAAATCTCATGAAATCTGCAACATTCTGCAACTATGACAATCATCTGTTACTGTTACTGTAAGGCTCCGTCTTGGCGGAGTTGCGTTTCGAAGCGCTTGCCAAAGGATGGGCAATACGACCTGCCCTCCACGAGAGCCAAAGAGAAAGCAATCGACACCTCGGAGCTTCAGAAGAGTACGTCTGAGTACGTGACATGGCTGAATTCGGAAGTGCCACTCTACATCAGAAATCTGTTGCGCTTCTACCCTGTCCACGGTCTGCTGCAAAAGAGTACATACATGTACATACTGTATAGATTTTGTCTCTCACATTCAATGACATGAGACGATTGTGCACTCCAATGCGTACCACATCCTCGCCGAAACTCTGCAGATTTGGCGCAGGGCGACCACTCTGCCAGGAGTCAGGATAGCAGTCCTCACAACTTGCACCCCACTAGTCTCGTTGAATGCGGATGGCAAAGGCTGGAATTGCATAATGAAAAGGCTTGGTGGTTGGGCTATTGAGCCGTTTTCAAACATATGTGATGTGCATTGACAGCTCAGAAAGCCTTTCTTGCCCAGGCTCATACGGCATGCCTTTGCGACCAATCATCTCCACCTACTCTCACGTGCTCCAGACTGCATCTGGAAGTGGCATTCATCGAAATCATCAATCTATATACATCATTATACATCTTTCATTGGACGCTAGGACGGCAACTTCTATCAGAACAGTGGATCAAAAGAAATGCCCCCAAGGGGTTAGTGCCTCACAGGCCTATTTATATACAGGAAACATTTGGCGGTCAATCAGCTGGGTCGATGTGAACACTGAGGCCTGCAGCTCTGGATGGTTGTCCAACTCCAGGTACACGCTGCCAATTGATCCCACACCAGCACCAGGCCCCACCACTGCCACGACAGCTGCAGCCTGTCGAAGCTATGCAAAAATGACATAGCTCTGGTGTGCTCGTTTTGCCACAAGACAAGACTGGAGCACCACAAAGAATCAGATGTATGCAGCCAAGCTCCTGATATTGTGACTTGTCTGTGTATCTCTGTCTGTATGAGGGTGTCCCAGCATAGCCCTGCGTTGCCTTGCCAAGGCTCTGCGCATCAGCATCTGAGAAAACCTCTATGCCGTGCGCAGTCTCCACATGAACCTCGAACAAGCAAATGATTGAGGATGGCCAAATTTAGCACTTCTTTTCCAAGTACCTCTGGCGCCGGAACCTGCGGGGTTTAGCAAAAGGCTGCCAGGTCGATTTCTCTTCATCGCTTTGTGATGCTTTGTGAAGGTACCGAGAGCCGCAAGCGGAAAGGCATGACTAAGAAGTCCATTGTGTTTGGAGCTGGTTCAAGGGACCAAGGGAGCAAACTGCAACCAGGTATACAGCCGATGGAGTGCTGAAACACTTGGTTGATCTTGGTTGGCTGAGGATCAAGCACGGTTGTCTTTGTCAATCCGAACGATTCGCCCATGACCTGACCTTTGCCAAAGCAGCTGCTTCTGATGACGTGTGTATTTGGTGAATGCGTAGACTGATGTCTCGGGCCAATGTTGTGCAATGTTGGGCTACTACGACTAAATTGCGGATACAACAGAAGTAGAATATCGTGCTACACTGGAATCACTGTGCGATGTTTCATAAGCCTTTCGAAATATACGTTCGTGCTGCGAGAACAGTCGTTCGTATTCCAAAAGAGATAAGCAGAATCATCAGCAGCTTCCAAAGCTAAAGGAAATGCAAGCAAAACTGTCAGCAATTGGAGTATTGTTTGTCAATGATTATCAGAAATCCACCCGTGTTTCTCTGCAAAAGATCTGAATGTATTCACGCAAGCCATGGCTAGAGTGCCACACCTTGGACCCTTTTGGAAGGCCACTTTGTCTCCACATTGCAGGTCACCAGGCTGCGGAGGTCTGGAACGAATCGGTATGTGCCATAAGTGCCATAAGAGACACTTGGCCAAAAGCTGGTCAAGAGGGAAGAGACAGGCAATCTACATTAATCTACCATTCCAAAAGTTCAGCCAAAAAGATGAAGAATTTACCCAACCAAAAACCACAAAACACGAGGCTTTAATCATGCCCCAAAAGTGTCCACTTGGCATTCCGTTAGCATCTCACCTCAGGCATGGCTGCATCAAGACCAAGCTCTCAGAATCCATTCCGTCCATGGCACGGTGCAGGGACTCCAGAAGAAAATGGCAGCAAATGTCAACCAATGTTGCATCAGGATACATCAAGAGCCAAACATCAAAGAGGTGCTGAGGTGCTGGAAACATCATAGATCCATGGTGGCTCGGAAAGGCTAGGTGGAGAATCCGTAACATGTCAATTGTAAATGAAGCTGTGAATGGTAACAGCACAGCTTTACAAGGAGGGCAGTTTCGTCAAAAAGATACTTCATTCAGAAGTTGAGCAAGCGGAAAACTCAATACATACAGCAACAGCAGATTCTGGGCCGCGTTCCCATCTTCATCACTCAGATTCCGCTGCTGAGAATGCTAAGTGGCTGCCAAATATAATGTGAGATATTTGTTGGCAAGGGAGTGCAAATGGAACAAAGATTTGATGCTTCGGATGCTGTGTTGGTGTTTGACTGAACTTGCGCTGGTTGGGAAACATATACAACTAGAAATAAGCTGACCCTTTTCCGCTCAACAAGATAGTTGCGAAGATTGGCCATGGGAGTAAGGTATCAAGAAGGAAACTAATATTGAGCAAAACACAGACTCATTTAAACAACGGTATTGACAGGGACAAGTGTTCACAAAGCTTAAGAAACACAATGAAAGCAGCCACCTTGAAAAAATCCGCCCGCACCGAAGGTGCTGGGGCGTGATCGTCCGGATGGCACTCGTAAAAGGTTACAGGTTTACCTGGGGGGGGGGCATTTTTCGGCCAAAACCTCCTGTTTTTGATAGGTCGTGACGCTCGCCTTCAAAAAACACTGTAAAAAACAGTACGGAAAACACCTGTTCGTGAACGCGCCCGTCCAAAAAATCGGCAAGCGGAAAGTGAAAAAACTCCGTGTTTTTCAATTTGTTGACCTCAATTTTTTGGTTTGTAACATCTTTTTTTGCGGTTCCGCAGGTGGCCTGGCCCGGAAGCGGATTTTTGAGTTTTTGGACCCGTTTTCGGACTGATTTTCGTCGTTTTGTGATAGCAGAAACACTGGTTTTTACAGTGTTTTTCTGTTTTCTGCATGCTTGACGGCTAGCTTCAAAACTTCCAAAAACCTCGTAAATTACGCTGTTTTATGTTACGGTGTGAATGAAAACATCGTAAATACCAGTGTTTTTTGACGTTGGTTAAAAAAACACTGTAAATTACAGTGTTTTTGGCCACCTGACCCTCAAAAACCATGGTATTTGCAGTGGTTTCTGCTTCTCACCGCGCAAAAACACTGTAAATAACAGCAATTTCGCCGTTTTTTCATGTTTTTCGTTATTTTTTGAACTGCGTTGGTCCGCTATACATGGCTATCAAATTCTTCGCGGTTTTTTTTCCGACAATCAGTACTTTCGGATGTTTTTGGTCTCAATGGCCGACATCATTGGCAGTTACGAGCGGTCGCGAAGGTGTGAGAACAACATCGTTCAAACCGTGGCGGCCGCACAGGGGTTCTTGTCGCGGAGCGACGGCAATAGAAGAGAACAATGGCAGTAGAAGAGAACAATGGCTGACATCATTAACAGTGTGGACCGTTCACTCGATATGTACATATATGATCTTTATATATATAGATATATCTCTCTATCTATCTATCGGTCTATCTTTCTCTATCTATTTTGGTTGGCCGACATCTTTGCCAGTGTGGAGCGTCCAGACAACAAAAGCCTACATCTTGCAGATACGATACTTATAAAGCTTTCAAATTTATTGCTTGGTGCAAGGCAGCACCACACAACCTCAGGCTCAGTTCTTTTTTTTGCTCTGGCCGCTCACGGACGGAAAGTTCGCAAACCTGCCGTCCCAAGATCCACACCAGGCCAAAAAAAAACAGTATCGCCTCTATACTCTATGTCCGTTTTGTTGTTTGGGTTTCTATGAAATCAGGTTTGTCGTTTCAATCACAAAGAACGTCTTCGTCCGACATGCCTTTTCATTGGCTAGGTCTGGCTCAAAAGGTCTTGGACAAGTGCTGGAAAATGCTGGCAAATACTCGAACATATAACATTTATGGAAATTTATGGGAATGGGGATATTTTCTGCGATAAAATTGCAGGTGTCCAACATCATGGGGCGATATTCGCCCCAAATCTTCCATTAGACCAGGACTTAGTATTGAAAACGCCCATGGTGACGACTGGGGATCCCTCATGACTTGGTAACCCATCACTCAACAACGCTCTTCGCGCCTCAACTCCTCCGCTCCACTTTCCGCTCCGCCCCTGAATCATGCCCCTGCTGTGTGAGCCCAACGATGCGGTGCGGGCGGTTGCCGTCGCGAAGCGACGTGAATAATTGATTTTTGGAGAAGTTATATAAGTCTTTGCTGGATCTTTTGGTCTTGAAACAGGAACCGGTGAAAATGCAACTGTAGCAGTAGAGGAGACAAGAAAACAATGAATTAAGCGCACTACCGGTTCTACTACAACTACCATTGCTGTATTATATACTTGGAACATTTTTGTGCAGCGCCAGTTGTGAAACAGAAGAAATAGCAAATAGCATTATGAGCAGCAGGAGTAAGAGGAAGAAATACACAAATGCTACCAGTAGCAATTGCCAAGAGCAAAAGGCGCATCAGCAGCCGTAGTAGTCCGAATACATCGCAGTAGTAGCGTGCCTAGTGAAAGGAGAAGGACAAGCCACCGCAGCGGCAACAGCAGCAACAGTTGTGGCGGTAGCAGGGTCAGTCAAGAGAGGAGGAGAAGTTGAGCAAAGAACAGCAGGAGACTCTGAAACTACTGCCTTTTAACCTCCGGCTTGAAGATGTTGTGTCACCCATTGCACCTAAAAAAAGATATGTTTGGTAGCTAGTGCTACCTCATTGTTTCTTCTCTATCTGCCAACTGCATAGATATTGATGTTGCCCTCTTATCTTTTCACAAATAGGTGCATAAATTGTGAAGTTTGGGCTGCTCATATTCTAGGACGATGATCACAAGTTCACAGCGCCGCCAGTGGCCACAGCACCGCTTTCTTTCCCCAGTTTGCTCCTTTGGGAAGACGGGTCCCTCAGACTTGGACGTGCTTGTCGATCAGATCGACAAGCACGAAGTTGATCAGTAGATCCACTGGTCCAAAGTGACTTAGCATGGTTGTTGCTACCGGTCCAAAGTTGATCAGTAGATCCACTGGTCCAAAGTAGACCCTGATAGACCAAGCGATTTCGATCTACTTCTGTGTTCTTGCTCAGTTTGCAAGCTAAAAACCATTAAGACTTGTTTAGACGCTCTAGCGGATATATCCAAACACATTTGTCACAATTTGTCAAAATGCTGAGGTTTGATGCAGCCTTATCGTTAGCAATGAACAAAGAGGAGGCAGTCTTCTAAGGCAGCCATTTCGCGGGTGACACTCGACCTTGCTTTGGCCCTTGTCCGGGCAACGGATTCATCGAGCGCCTTTGCTCTTTAGCACGTCCGCCATCTTCAACCTTGGTCTCTGGTGCTATTAGGCAGTCTGCGTCCACTCATTGAGAAGCTGGTCCTTGGGCCAATTTGGGCCCCTTGCTGCTCGTTCTTGATGGCTATACTCAACGGCGTCTGCCCACCTTAGCCATGATTTGTGGTGCTGTTCAGTCTCACTTCCTGGATTCTGAATCAATTTACAGATATCCTACAGTATATAAGCAACAAGACAAGCAAATGCGCTTGATTCAACGCCCAAACAGAATTCTGACAAGAGCGGGGCATGCGGTGTTTTTCCTCTTGGCGCTCGGGCTGTCATTTTGTTTGTTCAAATCTGCCCCCTGGCTGAGGAGGTACTCCAAGATCTCCTCGTCACGTCGCCGAGATTTTTTCATAAAAAAATAGCACCTTGAGTCAACGCACGCACAACGCTATTGCCTGTATTTCTCTCGTTGTTGCCAGACGTCTGCGACGTTGGTGCAAAGTCTATATGATAATTCTATATATGTTTGATTTTATATGTGATGTTGTTCCTTAGAATTACATGCAATCCTATGTTTCTCAGAAACATCGGAAAACCATACTGGTCGAAAAATTGTTGCCTACATATCCTCTCTTCGGCATAAAACATGCAAAAACTTTGGAACCTAGGAACAAGCTCCTGCCGTCCATACGCAGCAGCATAATGTAAGCTGCTGTTCTTGGACTTGTCAACGCAGTTAACGTCCTCAGCACAATCGCCCACCAAAAAATGTTCAGACTCAGTTTATCAGCTACATGTTTCAGACAAAAATCATTGCTGTTTGTGCCGTGTTCCTGGTATGGACATGGAACAGCCAAAGCATTACACTGCAGTGCTCCAGTGAGTCTTACAGACGATAAAATATCCAGAAGTTACTACTAAGTTCCTTCTTAGGCGGCAAACTCCACTGTCAACGAAGCGTGCTGCATCTTTTCATTTTATAAGCCTGCCATAAACGAACCCAGCCGTGCGTGGTGCCCCGGCTGCTTTGACTTCAACCAAAAGCATGGTGATAGGCATGCGATTTGCACCAACTGCATAGCCTGGCAAGCTCGAGAACCGAAGAGATTGCCAAATGCCACAGCTGGCTCAACGGTCCTGGTTATTAGCATGCTGCTTACTTCATTGATCATCATTCTTCAGTTCTTCCTGTTCTCTCCTCATTCTCACACATTCCGGTGTCGAGGACCACAGCCAGGCCTAGGCAAGTGATGCCTCTCTGATCCTTGGCCTCCAGGTTCCGGCCTCCACGTTCAGTCCTGAGTGCTTTTGAATCTATTCAATATCTAGATGAGAGCCAAAGTCGACGAAGTAAAACACATTGCTTTTATGATTTTCTTCTTTGTAGGCAAAAGATTTCAGTTTGAAAAAGTGAGGGCAAAAACGCAAGCAAAACTACCACGACTTGCTCCGAACAACTTTCTTTTAGCATTCAGGGTGCGCTAAAACAGCGTCACCTTATGTCAGCTTCATGAGATTCCTGGTATTGCTTCCTTTGTCTATAGCGATAGTCTGCTAACTCTGCTTGTGGCCCCTACTCAGTGAGATATCGCTGCACTGCACGGAGGTCGCCGAACTTGCAGGCTTCTTGAAGAGTCAGCCTTGAATATTGAGGTGGTGAAAGTTGAAATCGCATTCAGCATCATAATACATGGAGAAGTGCGGACCATTGCAGGCATTGCGGACTAAACTGCCACGGTTTTTGGCTGGGTCTCCCTGCGGCGTCTTGCGAACGCGCTCAGCATTTCGCAATGCCTGAGCTGGTACCTCAAAGGCACATCAAAGGGGATTCTTTTGAGTGCGTGTCTGGATTTTGGAAGCAGATTGTGTGACGCTAACCTGACAACTATGGAAGAATTCATGAGATCTATTTGTCAATCAGAATCTTGTTAACACCACCGTTTGCAATTCTACCACATTTCAGCCGGCAGACTCTGAATTAAACTGAATGAAATACGCAGATTGTTTTAACAGCTGCTTGATGTCTGCCTGAAGAATCAAGACAGCAATCTGAAATCACGGCATGGGCGTATATAAATATTATATATACAATAACAGTTAAACATACTATAAGAAACATATTCTAATATAACATTGTGTGTGTGTGAATTGTGTTCTAAAATTGCAATGTGAACATGTTCCATTTCTCTGATGAAACCATTATTCAATTATTCTCTTGAGGCTTGAGGGACGAACACCACCCATCTTGTTGCTAATCTTTTGCATGAGCTCCTTGTCTTCCACATGGTTCCGGATCTGGAAGCGCACGGAGAAAACCAAAATATTGCTACAATGACTTGGCAAAATGTAAGAAAGTCAAGCATTGCCACAGAATGTTTGAGCATGTTGGAGTTCTACGCACTTTTGTTTCTTTTTCCCTGTCTTTCTAGACCAGCTGAACTACTGACCCCACAATCGTGTTCGCCTCTTGTACCTGGTAATCTTTGATGGCGGTAAACCTCAGAAGAAAAAAGTCTTTGCCAATCTGCAGATTCTTCTTTTTCGATTTTAGACAAAGGTTCCTGTCTTCAACTGTCTTAGCCTCTCAGTCCCTTCACATCACTGGCTTATTGGTTTTCATTGAAACTGAAACCAAGCACTGAAGGATGACTACTGAAACCAAGTGTGTGCCTCTGTATTTGTGCATGTGTGCAGGTTTGTGTTGGAATTCTCTCTCATTGGTCATCATTCACATACGCAACAAGAGAAGGAAGACGAGGCCCCATTATGCAAAACCTTCGAGCCATGATGCCCTTGAAGAAAGAAGAAGTCTGCTTTATTTACTCGTCTTATAGTCGTGAAATGCAACCAAATTGTCTGCCAGACTCTTGAGTTTCCGCACAGGGCTTCAAACTCCTCCTCCTGCTCTAGTTCCTGACAAAAAACCAAACAAACATCCTTACATAAAGGATCATAAAGGGCTGCTTTCCAGAGCTTCTCATAGAACTTTCAGTGAGCTATATACCTGAAGATCCACAACCAATTAATTGATAAGCAACGCATTCACAAAAATGCAAACATATCCGCATGTCTGAGAAGGTTCAACGAAAGTGCACGCAAGAAGGTGTTTTTTTCGTTGCTTGCATTGCTTCTAAAGCTTCGGTGAATTCAAACAAGAGCATTTATGTGCACGATGGTGCACGTGTGTCCAACAGAGTTCGTTATTTGCAGAGGTTGAGAATTCGCCCAGGCGTAAACTCTCCCAGCCTTCATCCGCCGAGCAAAGTCCTGCGCAAGGACAGCTCTACAAAGCCCAGGTCAGAACCGAACAGGGATAAGTCGGATAAGTCGGAGAAGCTGGGCATCCCCACCTCGTTACTACTGTCAATTTGATCCTGCCAAACATCTGCCATGGCTCCTTGGACTTGGCCATGGATCACCAGTTCAATCCAGTTCAGTACTGGCGAATGCACCAGCAAAAGCAAATGCCAGAGAAAGAAAAAAGATGAAAAAAGTATATTTAAAAACTGTTGAAGTCCTGCTTTGCTAAAGCTAATACCACTGAGCAATACTGAGCATCTTGCTCATCATCTTTTGCCTCCGGATCTTGTCTGGATTTGTAGAATGCTCCACCAACCTTGAGTAGTGACAGCTGGCAACTTTTCCCGCCATACACCATGGGTCATAGGATTCCTTGTCAACACGTCAAAAGTCAAAGTCTCAAAAGGTGATGGGTGCACACCGGTTGCGCTGAACTTTCTGGAACCAGAATTCCGAGCTAGTGTACAAGATTGCATGATCTGTATTGATCTGTGAGAAAGCAGGTGCCAAGGCCCAGACTTCTTGGTGTCTGCTGGATTGTTTTGAAGATACCTCCATAAGTTGATGCAAATGGGGGCTTTGTGCTCGGGGCCGAGTTAGCCAAAGGAATTACTCCGCTTGACTTCTCACTGCGAAGCACACTGCACTCCCAACTGGGAATTGAAACGCAAACCAATGCCAGTTTCAAGCTCGACTGAAGGCAATCCAGAGGCAATGCCACTACATTAACTACATTCCAAAAGTGTGTTGGGTGTGTTCGTGCAAAAATTGGTATGCAAATGATTGGCAAGCTTCTGTTGTTATGGATGGCCATAGAGAGAATTAGATTTCCTTTGTGTGGAGGTCAAGCTGCAACCTGAAGCTATGTTCTTCCTTGTTTGATGATCCCAGCGAGAAGATCTCCGGGGCAGAGATGACAAGAGTGTACTTGGGTCATCTTGCATCGCTCCCCCCATCGCAGCTGTCGCGGGGCACATCTTGGTCTGTTGCCACTGCTCTTCGCTAATCTTTGGGCTTCGGAATATGTTGACCGAGGTGCCATCGGTTAGCAGGATCTGCACAGCAACCAAGCCACAGCATGACCTGCCTGTCAATGACTGTTCCTTTGAGTGAAAAATTTGGACCAACCAAAACTATCGAAGTCAGGCCTTTTCTGCCACCATGTCATCATCCGCTTGCTCCGCGGTTGCAATGGTGGGCATTGCCCCATTGGGAGCATCTCCATAACCCATCGCGCTGACCCGAAACGGCTAGAGAGAATGTGGCCAGAATTCAAGAAGGATGCAGAAGGTATCTAAAAATCTAAGCTGCTGTGTTTCAGACGGAAACGAAAACTTGTGAAGCCATGTAGCAACATGTAAGATATCACAACATAGACCAAACAGCAATTGCCACAAAGACCAAGTGCCAACTAGAATCCGTCCACTAAAAGGCCCTCTGACTCTAGTTCATGCGGATTGCATTGTCTTTCGAGTCTAGAGTCCGTTCGTTTCTGCATTGTCTGTGATTTGTTCTTTGGCTATTTTTTTTCGCTCCGTTTCACGTTCTCGCTCACAGAGGGTAGCACGTACCCAACATATTCTCCGTGTCTTGTCTTTGCAATTATGCTCTCCAGTTCAAGTTCAAGCAGGCATTGTCAAATTTGTCAATGGTTTTGTAGAGAGATGTGCCACTCATATCACCGGGCTCGGCTGACCTGGTGCTGAGAATCTCCAAATGTGTCCAAAGATCCCTGCACAACCAGTCTTTGCACACTCCCCTGCGTTCGCAAGCCAAAAACCGTATAGAGCTTGTATAGAGTATGAGTATAATAATTTGTTCTTTTTCTTAATATATTTATATATCACTGGCAATATCGGTCGGGCGCGCCCAGTACAACAAAAAACTTGGCAACTTTTACTATGTGCAATTCTATCAACAAGACATCAAAGGCTTTAACCAGGTAATCAAAAAGTTATAGCACAATGTGTTTGGTCTTTAGCTACTTTAGCTCCAAGGGTCGCCCATAAACCAAACCCGCAAGTTTTGCACCTCTCGAAGCACACCCCGGAGCGAGTTGAGTCCATCTCGCCGGAATGCCGGTTCTGGGCGCAGAGGCGAAAGAGAATCAGCGGGCCACCGTGTGCCTGGGAGCCCTCAATTATCCAATGACAACGTGATGCAGTGATATCATGTGATATCCAGACAACTGTGGTTTTTGTTCGTGCTGCAATGATGCACCTGGAGATGCCGTTTCTGCAGCTGGTGGAGTCTTTGCTGGTGCAGGCGCAGGAGTAGGTGCAGGTGGTTCCGGCACATGCTCCTGCGCCGGCAAAAGCATGACATGCTTCCTGCTGATGTTTCAGTCAACTCTTGCTTCGCGACTGAGTTAGAGCTGCAACAGTCACACAAGGACTTGTTTTGATCTTGGACTCCAAGGAAACTAAAAGGAAGCATTCACATGCACTTGACATATCTTGCCCGGAAGCCATCAACTGGACCAGCGACCTCAAAGCGTGCTGTTGACGCTGTGGAAGATTTGCCTTGAGCGGTCTGGAGAAAGCTTAGGCTCACTATACGGGGCAGCCAAGAGCAAAGACGTTCAAGGTGCCTTACAATCAGGAGAAATGGACACAATGAAAATTGGTTTCAAGCATTTGTCTGAGATTGGCCGTTGTTGTTCTACGAACCATGCTTTCACGATTCTCGCAAACCAGAAAACCCACTTGAAAATTCCACTTCCGAATCCCACCAGGGCGATCAGAGTTGCTTTGAGAAGTTCTACACATCATAGACAGACATATATAGAATATATATAGAATATTATAGAATATTAGAGAATTGTGTAGAAATGTCACATCAATTTCGGTGATAAACAAGATGAAACCATGTGAAACCCTTGCAACCTACTGATCCCAAGCCTGCAGCAGCCTGAACCTGGCACAGTTTCAACAAATCTCCGCTGAGGCTGAATCTCAAGAAAGACGTCAAACTGCCAGCCTCTTGTTCAGAACCAGTCTGGCTAACCTGATGAAAGATCATGATCGCCGAAGAAAATGGTCGGAAAAGACTTGCGAATACTTTCAAGCACACTATCACTATCCCATTCCATGAGTGACTGTTCATGTAAGAATCAGCTTGCTGATTCAATTTGAAGATACAATGTCGCATTGATAGGTGTCGCTTGCCGTGATCTCTATGACTAATTATTCTGACATGTTTGTTTCTGACCGAAATCTTTGCATCTTTCAATTCCAAGCCTTCAGAATTTTGATGCTGGTGCGGATTTGCTTCAAGAGCTCCCCTGCAATCTCACAGGTTCCAGCTTCACTGAGATTCACAAAACATCAAGTAATTGTGTGGAAGTGCAAGGAAAGGACCAAGACTGTCCCTAGATTTTGTTGAGACAGGCAAGGAACGAGTAAAAGCGGAGATGAATCACTTCTTTAGAGCAAGAAGCATAAGCTCACGCGCTTGCTCTACAAGTTTCTCCAAAGCGCTGGTTAGGATCATTTCTCCAAAGCATTTCGCCTGCATTGTCGACTTGCGGCCCAAATTTCTTCTTCTTGATCTTGGCCTTCTCATCCTATGAATCTCGAGGTCTGAGCAACTCTTTGATTTTATCCACGCAACAAATGGAGAGCCAAACATACAGTAAGCATCTCTTTCAACCACACTATATCTATATCTGTGTGATGAGTGCCCCATAATTCTATTGAATTCGAGAATAAGAGGCATCAGTTGGTCAGAAACATCTTTCGAAATTTGCTGCCATCACAGCTTTGAAACCTGCTGGACAACGGAGATTCTGAGCTTTCGAACCTCCTCGGGCAGTTCCAGGTCAACCTGCGGAAAGTGGAGAATGACCATTTTACCGTTTTACCCGCGTCTTTTTCAAACAATTTGGGATTCAAGTGGACTGTTTGACTGTTAAATATCCAGGTTCAGCTCCTAAAGCCCTTGGGCTCCCAGCCTCCGCATCTACATCAGGCAAGTCTTCCTTAGATGCTGAGGCGCAAGTGATGTGGCGGGCTACAGGAAATCTAAAGCATGAAGAAGAAGAAGAAAAGAGAAGAAGAAACACATCGCTTAAGCACGCAATTTCTGTGCTGCATGCAGGATCGAATATCCAAGAACACATCTTTTTACACAACAGCAATTTAATACGTCCATTGCCAGGCAAAGAATGTTGAATATTGGATGAATATTGTGTCTTTAAGCATCTCTAAGCCATGAATGTGGCATGGCCAAATGTCGCGTCCGGATGCGTCAGGTATCGATGTGACATTTCGGTTTTGCCAGGCTGAGATGCAGACTGGTCGGGCAGCGTCACCGATGAAGATCTGCAGATTGTTGGCTGCCTGGCCATGACCATGAGATCAGCTGAGAGGAACCTGCAAAGTATGGAACTCATTAAGGAAATGAGGAGCCAACGGTTGCTTGTGCGATTCAAACTTGTCGAAATGATATAGATTGTAAGTATTCTATACACCGGTTTAAAAAAAAGAACTCAGGTGCTATCCCCAACAGCTCAAAAGCTTCTGCGGTTTTTGCCATGAAAAGTGCTTATGCCATAAATATTAAGCGCTTATGCCATATAGTAAAAATTAAGTGCTTATGCCATAAAAAACATCGGAACCCTTTGGAATTTCACAAAGCATCTGCACCAGAGCCCTCCGGAACCTCACAAGGTATCTGCACCGGAACCCTCCGGAACCTCACCAAGCATTTTCTCCGCCAAAACCCTCCGGAACCTCACAAGGTCTCTGCACTGGAACCTTCCGGAACCTCACAAGGTATCTGCCCCGGAACCCTCCGGAACCTCACCACGCATCTTCACCTAGACCCTCCGAGTCATCAGGTAGCTGCACCGGAAACTTCCGGAACCTCACCAGGTACCTGCACCAAAACCCTCTAGAACCTAACCAAGTATCTGCACCGGAACCCTCCGGAACCTCACAAGGTATCTGCACCGGAACCCTCCGGAACCTCACGAGGTATCTGCACCAGAACCCTCCGGAACCCTCCGGAACCTGGTGTTGAAGCTGCACCGGATCGCACCGGAGCTAATCTGGGCTAAAGACCCCATAGCAAAGTTTTGCTGTTGGAGAAAAACATGGAGAAATTTGGAGAAAAAACATATTGCAAATAAACATACACTTTCGATTGGATACAAGCATTTCATAGAGTCAAGCAAGCTTTGGTCCAAACACAGAAAGCAATGAAGCCAAAGTGACCTCTTCGAGTACCTGCAATGCCTTGCCAATCATCTGACCTTCCAGCATTCCAAAGCATTCCAAAGATTTCCAAAGTATTCCAAAGTGTCAGACAGCTGAAAGATGTTCGAAGTGTCTGTGATCAAGTTGACCTCTGGCAGTGCACTTGTAACAGCAGTATACCAAGGGCCCCACCAGTACCTTCACTGGCCAAGAGAAGCACTGTCGAGATGCGCTGGAGCAACAACGCATAGACGTCGCGTTCACGACGGTCCCAGCCTGAAACTCGTAGCTGTTAGTTGTGTCTTTCCATAAAACTGGCTCCTCCCTACGGATTCCAAGATTTGTCTGCCACCACAAGTCTAACCAACTGCGTGTTGACCGTCTGTTGACCCTTGATGAACTCTTTTAGACTCGCAAGAGGTATCAAGGCTTGAACTCCGGCGCATCCACCTACATTAATCATCATTAATCTACCTTCCAAATGAAGCTTGCACGTTAAACCGTTGACGTGTGGCTTTCCCAAAGACGGATCCTGGATTTTCCAGTGGCCTCGTTGGCGCAGGCCACGCATTGCTTCTTCCAAGTCTGGGACGTATTCCAACATTCCAGGCCTGGGTTTTGAAAAAATGCTGTTTGTCAAAAGCAATGTGCTTTGTTCCAAAGGAAGCATTCGGTGTCTATTCCATGGATGTTGCTGTGTGTGTGTGTTACTGCTACGTAGCTGCTACATCTGGCAAATCCATCCCTGGGTATTGGACATGTCTCCCAACTCTTGGTGACAGCTCACAACGCGATCCAACAACTCGATCTGGCAGGGCATGCGTTCACCAAGAACGTGAGCTATTTCACTAGAAATAGGATCAAATAGGTCAGTCCAAACTGAGTCAATGTTCAAGAAATTTCAAGAATATGAAATGTTCAAAGGTGTGATGGGCCATTCCAGTCAACTTCCCTGTCAGTCAGTCTCATTGTCAAGCTTGCAGCAAAATGAGTATCGCAAAATGTCCTCTTTGTAAGGCAATTGATTCAGATATTACCAAACCACTGCAATCTGTCTTTCCGTGTTTGAATGGCCCCGTGCCCAAAATCAAAATATGTGTGCGCTGTACCTACTGTATTAATCTTGATGCAAAGGCCGTTGGGCCGTTGTGCTGACCGGTTCGTCACTCCAAATATCGCCCCTGGCGCCCCTGGGGTGCAAACCAGACTGCCATTGGTCGTAGAGTCCTTGGTGCACTCCACCCGCAGCGCCAAGGCCAAATATTCCCTCGCCTCGCAGATGCACTGAGAATCCTTTTTCATCTGCTATGTGGTTGTGCTCTATATTCAATTATTCTTGCACACAACAAAAGGGGCTGAAAAATACTTGTGTCAACATCCATAAGTGGTTTCCACGTGCCTCTGGCCACCGCTCCAGTCGAACCATGCAGTGAGCCATAGTGCCTGCCTGCCCAAGCCGTGTCTGCATTCGGTCAATTTGGTCGGAAAATCTACAGCACATGGGCTTGTCTGGAAACGGGATATACCTGCAGAATGGCATTTGAATGTGCTGGAACGGGGAAAATGATTATCAATCAATATCAATCATGGGATTTGGGGGTTTTCCTAATTTTTTCGGGTACCCAACCCAGACCCAGCGAAACAAAACAGCAAAGCTGCCCGTTGAAGAGCTTACTCGCAGGCACCTGCCAACCAGCCAAAGGTTTCATGGGCCCCAAGGAAGAGACGTGGAGCTCATACCTTTGGCCGGACAAGAAAGTTCCGGGGCGAGCTAAGGAACAGAAAACTGAAAGCGCATGAATAAAGAGACGGTCAATACATGTGTATATATTGAAAAAATGCAAAACGAAGGCCACTTACATGCTTACTGAGATTCTAGATGTAAGTTGGTCAGAGTACAAACTGGATTCTTCAAGCTTGCATCGAGTGGCTCAGGCTTTGTGATTGACAGGAGTTCTTTGGTTGCGTGAATGTGAAGTTGACTTTTCCAATGCAACACTTCTTTCTGCGTGCTGATTTGTGTTTTGTCATTGTGAAACATCCAGTACCTCTACCTACCTACAGAGAAGAAGCAGCAGACAGGCTATGGATCCGGACGATTCAGCCAGGGGCTTCTCCGCCTTCTCATACCTCATCTGCAGCTCACGTCAGCACTGTTGAAATGCTACGTATGTAAAATAGTCTCCAAACTTTGGGAAGGGCTGTGTGTATATTATGTACGTATGATTACGTATGTATGCACATTATCTACATGTTTCTACATGTGTGAATTAGTCCCCCGATTCCTCAGTTCCTCCTTGTGACTTCCATGCTTGCACATCCTATCTTTCCGATGGCCAAGTGAGGTCACACACTTGAAAGCAGCATTTTGCGGGCACCAACTCAACCCAGACTGATTCACAATTTCAGCTCACAAATTAACTCAGAAAGTGAATCCTCCATGAAAGCGTACACGATGTACACGTACAAATATCTGGTGTTTGGTGAAATACAATCAAAGCATTTAAGTTTTTCTGTCACGTACGCTTTGGTGAGGCACTCGGGCTCACCCAAATCATGCATGTCCCCTGATCCTGAGGCTTTGGCCATTCGCGAGCCTCCTGGAAGGTTTAGATTGAATGCAGATGAATGCAGCACTCATCGGAACACTTAGACCACTTGTTAGATGTGTTCTGCTCCAGCATTTAACCGCAGAATCGGGGAGATGTTCCCTTTCTTTTGCAGGTGTTCCACTCGGTCCACCTCCTTTTCTTCTTTGAGGAAGTGGCTGTCACCTGCGAGGATTTTGTATATCTTCCATGTTCCTTGCTGAAAAGCATCTCAAAGATTGGCTGAGAGATTCTCCATGTTATCTCCATCGCCCCCGGTGGTGTTTTGTGGTCGTCTCCAGGCCTCGCCTATGCCCATAGCAACTTCACCCACATTTGACAGTATCTTCGCCAGCATGATCCTGCAGCTTTGTTGGAGGACCAAAATCACATCTCTGGTGGAGCTATTTGGGTTTGTCTGAAAATAGGGTACCCCAATTCCAATGCTAAATCTTCATTTGCCCTCTTAAGATATTGACAGGATAAAATGATAGACTCAACTTGTGCAGAGATGCTTAGCAGGTCTTAGCAGCAACTTTGGCATCCGAGAGACGGGAAGAACCCATCATGTGCGCAATGCCATGAACGGCCATGAAGCCCCATCCATCGAGATTCCCTAAGTTTCCATCGGGTTTCCCAGCCGATCGCTGGCTTCTGCAGTGCGATGTATCTCACCAGCTTTAACGCAAAGTTCAAAGCCTCGCACCAAAGTTGCTGGACCGAACGAATCAATTGACAATTGAGTTCAATTGATCCCAAGACTTCAAAAACCTCAAAAACGACATCAAACAACAACGTCAAGTGAGCACAAGGAGCAATTGAACTTCGGATGATTCATATCTTCAATTCCCTTACACAACAAAACTCTGATCATGCTGTTGGCTCGGTCTACAGCTACACGCCAGAACTAGCGAATGTCTACGGCTTTGATGGACATTGTCCACGAACATGTGCTCATAAACCGTATGTAGAATCAAACCACTTCTTCATTGAAAACATAGGCCCAGTCCATCCAAAATTCAAAGGAGACAAAACAAGGCCAACCACTTATCGAATGAATCTAATGATTCCAGCAGACCGTTTCTCAGCTTCTCAAAGATTCTTATACTCATCCCCTAGCCGCAGCCGGTTGCATCCGGTTACTAGCCTATCTTCATCTCCTCTCGCTGTTGAGTCTTCTGACCTCGGCGAAGTTGAGACCCAAAGCGACACAACGGAGGTAAAATGCTGCTATCTGACACCTTTATACACCTTTATCCCAAAAACACATTGCAGCCTGTACGTGCTGTAGGTCCGTTTTTCAACGGCTGTGTACAGCCACTTGAGTTCCCAGCCTAAGCGTGCATGAGCTTTGCCCAAGTCCCAGATGTCAAACCAGGTGGGTTGCACGCCATTGGCTTTCTTCACCTGAACACGTTGAACTTTTTCAGGTCTTTGGAAAATGTTATTGCACCTCATGCAACAGGTGGCCTAATGAATACAGCAGGATAGCAAGTCGCAATAGATCTCATCCCATTTCTCTGCAGCGCTGACCTCGACGCTTTTTCGCGTATATTCCAGGCACTTCTCTGCTTCATCCAAGGAGGAGTAACACCTAACAGACCATTTGAGTCAGCGTTCCAAGGTGCACCGTTGAACGACCCTGCACATCAAGTGTTCTTTGGATGCAACCATGGATAAGTTGGATAATACTTCAGAGTGTCTTCCAGCTCATGCAAGGAAGTTTGGGTAAGGGACGATCTCTTTTGCAAAAATTTGGAAGTACCTATCTGCCAAATCTGGTGGCAGTTCCATGAGGTTGGCTAGAGAGATTCAATGCCTTGCACTTACACAATCCGATGCGTAAAGAATATCCTGGGCCCGGGTCTGTCCTGGGTCTTTTTCTGTGTACTTTGTGCATGTGCATGTACAATCATATGTATCATATCCATGCCACTTGAGCACATCATAGCAAATCACGAGTCCATTTGTGAAGCAACTGGGTGCTGGGCCATGCGAAGTTTCTGTACATGATGTCATGGAACTGGCATAGCAAATCAAAGACGCACAGTTCAGCGAGCGGAAACGACTCTCGGCCGAAACGATCCAAAACTCACCAAGGAGGATGCCACGATGTCCCCGTGTCACGATGTCACGATGTCACGATGTCACGATAGGGACGCGCCTCCCAACCTTCCTCAGGCTGAAATGGCACATTCTGTTCGATCTCCTTCAATGCCACCAGTGCATCGTAGGCACGAAACCTACAGTAAGCAAATTATGTCTTGTCAAAAGGCAAGGAAGACACATTTCTGAAGCAATTTAACCGGTCTTACTGGTCTAGTCACTCCAGCTTGTTTGATCGCACAAATCTATCACAAATCCAGGGACAAGACTGCTTCATGCGGACTGCGCAAAGCTTGTCCAGGGCCTGCACGCAGTGTCCAACAAATTTCAAATGTTCATCACTCATTGGTATGGCATTGGTTATTGCCATGCCGATCAGCCAGAGCGTCCGGAAGCACCGCCCCAACGATCTGCCAGCCTTGATCAGCCAGGTGCCACCCCTCTTCCGAGCCCTGGGTGGTGACAAGGAAACAGGCTTTGTGAAGCCACAAAGAAGATGTTGCTGCAGTTGTTTTGCCAAAAAAAAGAGTTGGAAATTACACCATGATATTCACCATGATTCACCATGATCTTGTTGGAATCGACATCTCGGACTTAGTTGTGCATTTGCGGAGAGCCTCTTACTCTTGACCCCCAAGGAAGCAGGTACAGAGACTTGCAAGTGGCCGATCACCGCCCTCAACCGATCCCCTTTCGGAAGAGGCGGTTGTTTTGATACTTTCGTTTTCGTTGCCATCATTTGCCATCTATTGCCATCTGTTTAATCCAAATAGTTTCTGCACTGTTTCACGGCTCTGAGAGCACCACAGAGGCACTACCCGCTCGAGAACATAGTCACACCTCAAAGCTTCAAATATATACTGTATCTATATAAGATAATTATGGCATGGTACCGCCGGATCTGCTCGTGTGCGAATTAGGCTAGCTGTGATTCAGGAGACAATCTGAAGATATCAATGAACCACCCCGCAAGTGACAGTATTTCAGGATGACCTTTCTTATCTTGCAGTCCATATCCTGGATATGTCCATGAAGACTGTCCCCTACCTGCCTCAAACCGCCAGCATGGCACATAACAAGGTGATTTGCATCCAAGCCACTTGTCAATCTCATAGTTCTTCAAGTAAACTCCAATGAGATCTAAGGCCACACCTGGCACAGGCTGTCGCCCTGCATGGTGCTCTATCCCAACAAACTCTGCAGCCGCTTCATGGCACCTAAATTCCGCGGTTCGTTCAAGGTGGCTGTCAACTCAGAAGGAGGCAAGCGATGTTGCAAGTCCTGGGGACAGCCGTGGCAAGCACATGCGCAGGGCAGGAGGTTGTCAAAAAGTGGCAATCAGACAAGAATAGACAAGATGATACAGCCCCTCAGTTGTCCTCAAACAACAATATACCAAGAACAATAAGATAATAAGAAGAAGAACAAGAGGAAGAAGAAGAAGAAGAATAAGAATTTCAGAATGTAGTCGCAAAATCGTAAAGACAGCTGAGCTATCGGGGAGCAGCTGCTTGAGCTACTGACTCGGGCATCTTGGCAATCCTACCCAGTATGCACACCGGCACACCGCACTCAAAAGCAATATCATGTTTTCTGAAACTGATTTTGCAACGTTGTGATTTGGACAAACTGTCATGTACTTTCACAACAGACGTGACTTGTTGACTTGTTGACTTGTTGACTTGTTCACTTTCTAATAACGTCGTCATTTCAGTGCACTCAATGCACATTTGGCCTGTCATGGCCTGTCAGTTTGTTTCAGCCATGATTTTTGAGGTCGTATCCTGAAGGCCATTTGCTAAGAAACAAACACACTTACTATTCACTTACTATTAAAGCAAATTAAACAACTGGATATCAAGATATGTCAAGCGCCTTGGCGATTTACCAGTTTGTGGCCAAAGTTGGTCATCGCAAACAGTATTTGTTGTTTTCACTCTTACAAAAAAGGAATGATTGTTGTCATCACAGTGTGGTTCAAGGATACAAGAACGTTTGAATGTTCATGCACAATTTATGATGCTACCAGAACATGTTCTCTTTCCATGTACAGTAGATGATTGATATTGTGTCTCCGTGAGAATCCTGCATTGATGTTCCTGCACTCAGTTTGCCTGAGACTATAGAATTTCCAATCACCGCCAAAAAGGACTTCTCCTGTTCTCAAGAGTTTGTTTGCGTCCTGCCTTCAGGACCATGTCAAAAATTCCGTCATTCTGCTGACCCTGCCGCAATCGGAACAATTTGAATAGGACATGCAATACAGTATATTTAAGTTTGATGATTTGATCGATCTTATCATGACGTGTCAATTCTTTTGATCCAGTCAAGCTATCATTATTGTTTTGTTGTGTTTATCCAAGATCTCTTCTCCAATAACACCGAACACTCTTTTCCAATATACCCAGGCATCGCCCCATGAAACAGACCCTCGCTGACTGCCTATCTAGACTCACAGAAGAGTCACAGTAAGGTCTCAGCACTACGCTGGATAGACTCATCGGATCTCATTGGTAGTTCCATCTGAAACACAAAATACGACGCTTCCGTCTCCACGGCCGATTTGGTCTCCAACTCCCTCGTCACGTCAGCCAAGCTGAGAAAATCTGGAAGCCATGGGCTTGAAAATGCCACTTCGGTGGGACGTTGTATTGATGTTGCTACTGGCGATCGGAGATCCGCCCGAAGGATGAGAGCTGAAAACGTTAACTCCTGCAAGATGTCTCAAGCTCGGACTTGAGGGGCGGAAACATTGAACAGATTGAACGAAGACAAACCTGTTTGATCTCTGGAAGAATTTTTTAAGTTCTTCATCCATCACTTCAATACGTGTTTGCAACGTCCCATCGAATCTTGTGGGGAAAACATTAATTCGAACTCCTCATATGTACATTTTTTTGGGTTTGACGTGCAGCTGCCGTCTCAACCCTCTGGTAGTTTCTCTTCAATCAGGGGCTTCAGTACATCCACAGCAGGAAACAATACCTGTGGCCGTTGGCTGCCGACATGATGATGCCTTGCAAAACTTTGTCTGGTCCAGCTGGAACTGGTAATTCATTAGAATTCCTGAAAATTCTTGAAGATGCCGCTACAATCTTTAAAATTCCTTTAAAATCCTGAAAATTCGTGAGAATTCCTGATTTTTTTTGAGGATTCCTGAAAATTCGTTTAAATTCCCTTTAAATTCCTGAAAATTCTTGTGAAAATTCCTTTACATTCCTGAAGAATCTTGAAAATTCCTGAAAATTCCTGAAAATTCTTGAAAAATCCTTAAAATTCAGGTATTTTCTGATCATGGGTCCTTTACTGGGTCCTTTCCCGTCGTTTGGGGCCGTCTCCCCTAGGTTGGAATCCAAATTGTTTTTTCTCACCAGAACCATCTAGTGGAGTTACCATATTGTCATCAACCTTTTGACGCTTGGTTTCCAAATTGTCCTGCTCCTCCTCCATGGGCTCACCTCATCTTTCCTCCAACCGCGGTCACCTGAAAACCAAGGGGCAAAGGAAGGTTTCTTGTGAGAAAACTGAACCCTTGTCTCATGTAAGAGAATTTTGATGGTTTGTGCGTGAGGTTTGCGCGTGGACGCTTGAGTAACTTCAATTTCATGGTCCTCCACCTGGGTTTGGCAACACGTGAGACCGTCATATCGACGAGCCATAAACAGCCATGCTGCATCATTGCGGCGATGGGCTTTGGACAACATTTCGATTTTCACAAATCCTAGACTTTCTGCAAGAGCTGTTGCCTGGTCAAGGTCCCAAAATTTGGGAGTAGTTTGCAACCACCATTTGGAGGTGATGGGTGCTAGGCGCTGATCATCTTCAGCACAGCGAACCCCCCCCACCTGGAAAGAGCCATGGACCAGGCCAAATGGCGCATCAAGCTTAGCGCGATTTATATGTTGATCCCAGGATTCATTGCCATCCCAGTCAACCCATGCAACCTGGCGTGGGAATTCGGGCAAAATCGTCGGCCCAACGTCCACAAACAAAATCGTCGGCCCAACGTCCACAAACCAGCGGGACCCATTGGCGAAATCACCACTGGCCTTCAACAATTGTTCAGCAAAATCTGAGGACCGAACTCTGATCAAACCTTGAACTTTTGAATCATTGATACTTTCGAAGCGCCAAGTGTCCATGATGTCCTTGACATCAAAGTCGGCGATCTGCTGGCACCATTGGCAAGCTTCATATCCCGGTCGCGCACACAAGCAAGGACCATGATGCCACAAAATGTCTCTATAGGCGCTCACTCGAATAACCAACGTGTCCTCCTCGTGCTTCTTTGCAGCAGGTATTGACTGGTTGTCAATCCATCCTTTTAACCAAGGTGCATCAGGGGACTGACAAAACATACGACATTATCGGAACGAAATATGCCCTCTTTCGCTTCCAGGAATTTTGTGCCATTTATGGAACATTCCGCTAACTCAAAGGGTTTCTTCAAAACCATCACTTGCATCCGGGTTGAAATATCGGGGAGACCTTGTGCCCCCTCATTTTATTAGTACAGACCTCGGGCCTTACCCTGGTTCGCTACAAAATGAAAATCCACCATCAAAAAAACCCAACTACAAAATGAAAAAACCAGGGTCCAGGTGCATCAGCATAGGCTTGCTACAAAATGTTATGCCCAAGGGCTCTTTTTAAACTTCGAAATCCAACATGTTGTCCCTTGCTTTGTTGCAGGTCATTTTGTAGCTATTAAATCCTTCTACCCATCCAGTGGGGGGATTTCATTTTCTAGTTACGTGAGGGCCGCTCGTGCAATTTTTCCCCATTGTCAATTTGTAGCTATAACTACTAACTACTACAAAATGAAAACCCATGGTCTGGGTGCATCAACATAGGCTTGCCACAAAATTAAAATGACATGCACAACGGCACATTTCAACCCAAAAAACAAAACGGATAATATGCGTTTCTTAGATCATTTTGTAGCTGTTCAATTTCTCCATCCATGGCCACTCCTGTAATCCCATCCATTTTTAAAGTTGCCCACATGGGTCATGCTTCAGTGGATCTTGGTGATTGTCTAGCTCTTCTCCTTTAGATTTCATGCAGTCTGAGTGGAAAGCCCGGAAACGGTTTTTCACACTTAGAGATATTGAAAGCCCCTTGCTATCACAAAATGATATACCTTTTTCTCTCACATCGCACCAGAAATCCGAGTGCCGGAAAAGTAGCCGACCAGCTTGTGTGAGCTACTGATCCCCAACTGTACAGAAGTCTACCAAAAGGACGGGAACCTCAAAGACGAAACCACCAAAGACCGACGAAAGAGCGAGGAAAGATCCTCAACCACCGAGGGATGCAGGGGGATCCGACCCGCCACCGCCAACCCCGAAAAACCCAAAGCCTCGCGCAAGCCACCGCCCGCATCACCGACCTCCAAGAAGGGCAGACCACCAACCGCACCCAGCGCACGCGTGCACGTATGAAATAGCCGCGGCATCCCTGGAAGCACAAAGGAGCACAGCACCGACTCATCAACCGTGCACCACTTGCCCTCGTACCAGAACGGAGGCCGAAAACAAACTGCCACAGCAACTCAATCGCAGTGATACCCAACCAACCAGCAGCGCACGTCGGATACCAGCGCAACTCACCAAGCCACTGAACCAGGACCTTCGAGAACGCCTCGTGCACCTGAGGGCCGGTCTCCAGTTCACCGAGTCCTACTCCCCAGGGCAGTAAGGTCGTTAACATCCGTACTGAAGTGAAAACCTGGCCCAAAACCAAGGAGTCTGGCCGCTTCACAAGGGTGTAAGTACCTTGTCTTCCGCCCAAACCGAACCAACCAAGCAAACAAACCCCTGGAAACCAAGGTATCCCATGGCAGGAGATGCTGATGCATATACGAGGACCATAAGCACCGGCAAAGTGTCCTGGACACGCGCTTCAAGTACCTGCTCAGGCAACCTTTGACAAACCCTCTTCAGAGAACACGGCAAAAGCTCCCAGTCGGAGAGCACCTTCTTCTGTTCTTCGGTGATTTCCTGAACATAAATGTCGGAGAGCTGCCACAGTTCCTTTGGCACCAACAATTCCGTGGCCTCGTTGATGGGGAAGTCAAACTTTTCCCGCGAGAACAGGAAAAAGCATCTAATCTAGGCCTCCTCCTAGGCACAATGTGTGAGAGCTCCAACACTTTGACCAGAAGGTGACCATGTGAGCAAACAGACCAATGATTGGCCAGTGGCCGTGCCGAATCAGACCCTTGACATTCTCCCCACAAGAGACTTCCGCCTGTATAACCGCCGCAATACCAAGTCCATGGAGCAAAAGCTGCCCAGCCTCGACGTAAATTCCCAACCGACTCCCTCCACCTGAGAAGGACGTGCAAGGCGGGGACTGCAGGAGAAATTGAAAAGGCCAAGACAGAGTGATCTTGAGCCACCTGCGATCACGGACATCCCCAAGGAGAATGATGTCAAGAGCCAGCATATCAGGGAGGAGAAGATCAATGGGCACGACTGGACACCCTCGCATTCTGCCCAAGGCCAGTGCCCTCTGTGGATCCAGTTCGATGGAGACCAAACCACATTGTTCATCGAAGAAGGGGAGAGCAGCGCTCCACCCACCAATCCCTGCAAAGAGCTCCAGACACCTCAGATCCTCACCATTCCACCTTCTCGCCAAGAACGAAAACCCTTCCCTACCCACCATGAAGACCGGGCAGTCATCCAAAACCCCACAAAGCCGTGCATCCAAGACCGTAAGACACAGACCGACCCGCGGATCGAACCATTCAATCCAAGACGAATCGAAGACCACGATAACCGACTTTTCCTCACCTACGCGTTCATCCCGAGTCAAAACTTTCCAGCACACCTTCTCAACCAACTCTTCAACCAAAGTGAAAGCAAAGGACTGCACCTTAACTAAGCCTCGCACGCCAGAAATTTTCCACTGGTTGAAGATTTCAGCTGCAACCTTCAACGACTCAGGCAAGGCTTCCGAAGGCAATGTCCCTTTCGAGAAGACCGGCATGAAATTCATGAAACAACCCTGGCATGCTGTGAAGCTTCTCCGGCAGCAGGCACAGACTGAAGGCCACGCACCTTGGTCCGCAATGACACCGACTCCATGCTCTGTAAAAGTAACACGAAAACCCAAAACCGGGGTGCGCCACAAAACACCTACTTTCTTCACCAAAAGGGGGGCCAACCAGAATGAGGTGAACACACTGTGCAAGGGTCAACGGGGCATAAACCTGATCGCCCACACTGAAAGGAACCGGACAAGGCTCAGACTCACCCCCACCTTCATCATTGTCGATCTTGGCATCCAGGATCAACCTACCTTGCCGGGCCAATGCACAGAGCCAGGGATCGTTTCCGACTGAAAAATCAGAAATGGGGTCAGACGGACTGAAGGAGGAGTCATGAATACTTTCAACCGGTGAGGCACAGAAAGCGGGACCTACCTCTTCCAGAGCCACCACACCATCCGACCTACCATCGAAGCCTGCAGAAGTCATTTCTTGAGGAGGAAGTAGATGATGCGTCTCAGCCTGCAGGACATCATGACTTCCCGAGATACCGACCTGAAAACTTGAAGGGGGATTTCCACCTACCGGGGGTTCAACCAACAACCGCACCATGTACTCTCGATCGTCCCGAGTTTCCCGTCCACGTGAGACTTCGCTACGCGCCGGGTGAAACCTCCTAAAATCGCTGCCACTTGTCCCGATGAAACTTGAAGGCCGTGAGGCGCCACAAATCGGGCACTTTTCCTTTTTTGCAAGAACCATCTTGACGTGGTTCAGGCACTCCAGAGTTGGGCACTGCCAGTCAGGCGGAAACATAACCGTCTTGGACTCCGACCTCTCCGCCGGAATGTCCCGGCCAGGCGCTATTGCAGCACGCTGCTGGGGCAAAGGTGACTTCGAGGGAGAAGCGGGGCGACCACCACAGCGACTCCCACAGGCCCGAGGCCACCGGCATCGCCTTTTGGTGCAGGCCTCGACTTTGCCGAGAGAAAGATACGGCGCCCCTCGCTGCCTTGAACTCCCTCATCTTGGGCTCGAGCTTCACGGTCCTTCACACTGGATTCAGTCACCGAACGTCCTCCCTGCACACGATGACTCATTGCGGGCTCAACGTCAGGCCTGGACTTCTTGCTGACACCTTCTTGTTGATCTCGTCCAGAATGCCGTCTTTTTCGGGTCCCCTTGAAAACCTTTGCACCACCTTCAATTGCTACCACCGACTCAGCCATGTCACCGGCAGCAGCATCCAGATCATCTTGGTATCGCCTGAAGAGCGCCTCGTCCTTGGCCAACCCAGTGAAGAAGCACCACGGCGTTTCGGCACCGTCACAGCAGGGAACGCCAAACCGACCTCGGACGTCTGGTAGGTGCTCAACATCCCACGGAACTCAGGCACACCAGTTGTCACAACCACATTGGCGACCACGGACGGAGGGACAACCATCGAGTGAAAGGAACCAGGCATAATGGTCTCTTCCCCCTGCTTCTCGAAGATGCAAGCACCTGACAGCACATACCTTACCACACTTTCCCTCAAAAGCCCGTGCTGCATCGCAAAAGGGACAACCATTGGGGTCCTCCACACCGGCAACTCCTGCACCTGACCATGAAAAACCGCTAGAGGGGCAGCCCTATCAGACGGCGCAACCTCAAACTGCCAGGTCAATGGCGAAGGCGGCACAAGATCAGCGACCCATGCGGGGACATCACTACCTTGTTCATCCCAACCGGACCCATGACGGATGGAAAACAGGGGGTGCACATTGTTCATAGATTCACCGCTGAGCAGAGAGACCACAGTTTGCCGGTCAACTGGCTGACGTCGTCGAATGGCAGCAAAGGGCACAGTCAGTGGCGCAGGCAACTCCAAGGCTTCAGCCCAAACCTCAGTGATCCGAGATTCCTCGGCCATGACGCTTTGTAAGCACACATGCTCTGGGAGACCACGCTCAATCCCTGTCATTGCCTGCCTGATCGGGCCGAAACGCTGTGAGCCGAGCACAAGTGGCGCAACACTGAAGCAGAAACCTCGTCCGTACCTGCAATGCGCTCACGCAGCGCCACCACCAGAGGATCATCGGCCAGCCTCGCCGTGAGATCGGCGTGAACCCCAGCACGCACCCTGTCCATGAGCCAACCCATAGGCGGCCCAGTGGACAAACCTGACATCAGACGGAGGTACCTCGCATAGGCAGCAAGAACCCCATTACCTTCCGTCCGAAGCCCAGGGTGGCATCCGGCCAAGACACCATACCGACCGACCTAAGGCACAAGCAACAACCTACCGACCCGCACCGACCAGCGTCCGATCACAGCGCAACACCGAGTCTCAAGCTCTCAGCGAAAAAGCCCCTCCGCTGTTAGGAGGCTTGAGCCAGGGCTGCGACCATACGGCTTGGGATTGGCCTTGGCACAAACCTCCAAACCATTGGTCTGGTGAAAGTTTGAAAGTAGAGATCCTTGCCCAGCCGAGCTTGGGATGCCCATGAGCTTCCAAAAATCAACTTGACAATATTTTTTTACCATGGTTGTCTTAGCAACTGCACAGCTTCCAGTTCAATTGATTGATTTCGAAACCAAATCTGCCTCACATTGATCCTCTTTAAAGTCTCTCCATCAAAGCGTCTTTTCAAACCTCTACTGGGGCTGGTCTGGAGGGGGCACAGTAAGCTCTACAAAATTCTTGTACGCGCCTTTGTTGCTACAAAATGCAATGCACATGCATGACAAAGGTGATCCGGGAAAATAGCTGCTTCAAAGGGGGTTCCAAGAACCACCCCCCACAAAATGCCAATCACACATACGTGCTTTCTGGTTGAAAGGAACTCTGAGCATGGATTCTTGGAACTTGGGTGGAATTCGACTATTGGACAGAAAGAGCAGGAACATATTAGAATTGGATACACTCGGATCGGAACCAAGAAAAAGTGAAACAAAAGCATGGCTAAGCGAATTTTTACCACGATTGCCAGAGCTATGGGGCAACAAAACGGATCTGAAGCGCGCAGATTCAAGTTCAATTGATTGATTTAGAAACCAAATCTGCCTCACATTGTTCCTCTTTAAAGTCTCTCCATCAAAGCGTCTTTTCAAACCTCTACTGGGGCTGGTCTGGAGGGGGCCCAGTAGGCTCTACAAAATGCTCGTACCCGCCTGTGTTGCTACAAAATGCAATGCACATGCATGACAAAGGTGATCCGGGAAAATAGCTGCTTCAAGGGGGCTCCAACATCAAGCGCAACTCTGACAGCAGAGGAGATGCTTCAGCGATCTTCAGCGCGGGATTTCAGGAGTGAAGTATTTAGATAGGTTTGGAGGCTACGGCCGCACGCGCGACCTTGGCCAGCTACAGTATCAAGTCATGATGATCTTCGACTTTCTCATGGCAGAGAACATCCCTGCTGCAATGGATGGAGTGGCCCTTTTGGCCCTGACGCTGGAACAGGCGAGCCTGGATGGGGGAAGAATGGAGTTAGCAACACTATGGTTGCAGGAGAATCCCCCATCAAGCATTTTCATGCAAAGGCAGCTGGCATCGACGACAAGGGCGAAGTCCTTCGCACCACTAGCAGACCAGCGTTGGGTCACTTGTGCACTGGCTAGCAGCAAAAAGGGCAGAGATGAACACAGGGCAAAAGGGCTCGTTCGAAAGTACATCAGAAGCATCTTTTGAAATCCTTAAAATTCCTTAAAATTCCTGAGAATTCTTGAAAATTCCTGAGAATTCCTTTAAATTCCTTAAAATTCCTTTAAATCCCTTAAAACTCATAAAAATTCCTTTAAATTCCTTAAAACTCTTTTAAATTTCTTAAAACTTTTTAAAACCCCTTAAAACTTCTTAAAATTCCTTAAAATTCCTCAAAATCTTGAAAATTCCTTAAAATTCTTAAAAGTCCTTCAAAGTCCTTAAAATTCCTTAAAAGTCCTTAAAAGTCCTTTAAATTCCTTTAAAACCCTTAAAAATCCTTCTGTGAGGAAAGTCTACCTATGCTACCAAGATGCTGCATTCACCGGTCCAGCACGCATCAGCACTGCAGAGTAGCCTCCATGGTGGAAGAACTGTGAAGCCACAACTGCCCGTCCGCTTACAACCTTCGAACTTCTACAAAGCTTACTAGAATGCCATCACTTTTACAGAATCCAAACGGCTTGGCTTGACTTTACAATACTTTATGATTTTGAGTTTTGAGGACCTCCACATCCACCACGAAAGCACAAACTTCTCACAACAATCACTACAAATGGAAGATCCGCTCCTCGTGTGAATCCAGCAACACCTTCTGTGTTGTAGAGCTGACGAGCACAGGCGACCTCAGCATGTTTGCTTTCATTGACGACAAGGCAAAGTGGTCGCATAGCTCGCATTCGCATCTTGCCATTTTTCCATTTCAAATCTTGATTGATAAATCAAAACTGAAGTGATAAGTGGTTCATGGCAGTTGCTGGACTTTGCCTTCACAAGCTGAGCCAAGCTGCTACCCCGGTGTACTGACGGCCTCACAGAGCGAAGATAAGAGGGCTCAATTCAAAGCCGCAGAACACGAGAACAAGGAAGCGCTCAGCTGCTTCATTAAAAAAAAATATGTCATCATCATAATAGTTAGTAAGGAAAAGGAAAAAGCGATCGTTCTTTCAGTCCCTTTACATTTCAAACTCTGGAAAGAAAAAGTCTCGTATAAATCGTATAGACCTATTCAGGAGATGTGCCTGAAAGTAGAAATTCAGAACTTTGATAAAGGGCACAGGAAAACAGCTTCAGTCTGTGGAAATCATGGATGAAAATGATGAAATCATGATGCTCATGACATGTCTCACCAAGGATGCACTGCCAGGAGTTCATCCATGGAAATCGTAGAACTTCACGCTGCACTCTTAGTACAGGCCCAGGAAAGCTCGGGAAAGCTCGTGCCGCCCTCTCCAGGCCTGCTCCATACACTGCCTCTCCCATCACTCTGCTCTGCACCACCTGAGCTCTGGATCCGACCAAAGTCTTTGTAATCTATCAAATGCCATGAAAAACATGACACGTATGTCAGAAACCGTGGCATATTTCAGAGGTTTTTCAGAATCTAGAAAGCAAGTCCTCAAAACACGTATGAATGAACAGCAATGAATCACGCAGCTACCCTACATACATAGAATCAGGTCGAGGAAGTGGAACGACCAGGAATCTCCACACACAAGTTAGATCGGCAATCGGCAGGGAGAAAGCCTTCTATACTGAGACCGATTCTTAGCCAAGGAGCATCCAGAGGGAAGACAGAGGTCCAGCAAAGGACTCCAGCCATAGCCCCATAGACACCTCGCCCAAGGGTGCCCAAATGACCTTGACTCCTAGACGGATCTCATCTCTTCATTCCCTGCAAAATGTAAGAATAATACGGGACGCATATGCTGTTGCTGCCAAAGTGCTATTACGCAGCTGAACTGCAGCGCCGGAGGTGTCTTTACTTCCGCCTCTGCCAAGGGCTGAAGAACAGGGATCCCTTGGTTCTCTGCTTCCTATACGTAGGCATGGGTGCAAGCATTCCACATTTTGGAATCCTGATGGTCTTCATCAGTTTACTGCACATAGATGTCCAGGCTACAGTGGTTGGGATTCATACATGAATCAAACGGAATAATTCTAGGAAAAGATTTAGCCCTGGTGCAAGGTCTTGCAAAGGACCTGTTGTAAAGACATCTGGAAGTTTGAGCTGTCCTGAACTGGAAACAGTTTGGAGAAGTTCTTAGTGCTATAGTCCATTTCACAATGCAAAAATCTAGGACTCAGGCTATCTTGCCGAGGCCACACGGGCCCACGCTTCATTGCCTGCGATATGTTTCTGTGAGGAGGGCCCTTGGGTGGTGGAGACAGAACAAGTTGCAAACATGTCTTGGATGCAACGAGCGGTCATTGATCAGTTCAGTTGTGCACATGCCATCGCAGAGCCGATGAGAAAAAAACAGAGGTACTGTCTATGATAGCTTTAGGACGGTGTCCAGATCGTCTCTATGAGTCTGATACCCAGACCTGACAGTCCAAGATACGAGTGATCACATGATGTTTCTACACTGCAGTTCTGACCTGGAGACAGTGACTGCATGCAGTTATCCCAACTTGCCCGATGCACTCCCCTCCTCATATGATACAAAGAAGATTCCCAACGCCAGTGGAAAGCGTACGAAGCCACTCACGAAGGCGCGGAAAAATCCTGAACACTGTGTCAATGTGTCAAGGCGTGGGTGGTGGCTTTGAGTTTTGGTCGGCTTGTGGAAACAAGTCGTCACAACAGTCACAACCAAACATGCAAAGGATCGTCGAGGATCGTGTCGACACCATGTAAGGATTTGCAAGGAGCATCTGTGGGGATGTAAACAGAGACAGCCACTGTGCCCGTCTACAGGTCTTTGTGGCCACTGCCAAAGCAAACGCGATGTTCACATAAAAGTATAACCTGTATGTATAGTCAGTTTTATATACATTCTATTTATCTATATATATATGTGTGTATACATAGTATGAGCATGTACACAATATATTCAGGTTGTAGATATTTAGAACGAAAGACAAGGGAAAAAGTTAGGTAGGAACCCAACAGTGCATCTTCTATCATTAAAGAGCGGTCCGAGACACCTGGAAGGCCTTCACCGTGCCAGAGGCGCGTTGTGGCCTCCAAAGTCGACAAACGATTCACCTCGAGCATCTGTTCATGGTCAAAGCTGACAAAAATGCGGGAAAACTGCGGGATAGAAATGGCGTGAATCACCGTGAATGACTCGCATATCGACTGATCTCCACTCCTTTGCTGTTGTCAAACAGCAAGTACAATCTTCATGTTGACACCAGGTTTCAATGATAAGGACTTGAAAATGTCAGCACAAAACAAGACCTTCAGTCTCTTCACAGATCACCTGCTGGTGCGTCTTTACCACGAAGAGCGGATGCAGTGTTGCAGCAATGCAGCCACCCGAAAACAAGCCAGCTGCCAAGACCTGGTTCGGAAAAAAATCACACCAGTCGTTGCATCTTTTTCTTGGCAAACCACAAGTACTCATCAGTGACTCATCAGAATACCGAATCAGTATGGAATCATTTGGCTGCCAGATTATTTGGTGGCCCTGCCACGACTGCACCGCCCTACTTTGCCTTTGCCAGGCAAGAATCCTTGCACTAGAATGCAGAGCGCATCTCGGCCAACAATCATATCAATAGGAATCGTATGTATCATAGCATCTTAGATTGACTTAAAACATTCGTCTCATGGCTATGACATGCTATGACTGCAGCCACTTTGCCGGCCTCTGACAGCCATAGCTGCCGCTGCCCAGCGCGACGCTGTAGGTAGCCCTGAAGCTGTGTTTTGTGGCAAGAGACATGGGCAAAAAGGTGCTACCCAAAGATAACTTGTCCTGCTCTTACAGCTCTTGCTGAACTCTCATCAACTCTGGGTGCTCAGTGAATCGAGCCTCTTAGACCCATTTGAAGATTTGGAACTATACGGACACTCAAAAAAGAACTCTTCCCCACCGAGACTTCATTTTCTGAAGAATGCTTTGTAAACAGCTGCCTGAGCAGCATTGAAGGACCCGAAGCGCACAGAGTTCAGAAGCATGTACTGCAAAGACATGAAGATTCAAGGTTAGCTCCAATCATGTGTGGTTATATCAATATGTAAAGGACTTGAATCTCTGGAAACTGGGATGCTCTGTTGCAAAGAATAAAGAGGTGGCAACGGGCATTTCTTATCGTGGCAAAAAGATGCAAAAACATGATAAAGCTGTGCATCGTCCTGCAGCAAGTGCGGTCCGATTCCGTAGTAGGGCCTCACACTAAGGCAGTCAAATCGCAATGCAGCATGAATGATGCAAATTCATCAAATTCATGATTTTGAAGACAGCTAGATCAGGCGAGGGGTAAATCAAAGAAAAGAGCGTGACAGACAATTTGTTCAGCTCAAAAATCCTTTCTCGTTGTGCCACTTGTTCTACCCTTTTCCTTTACATTCTACGACCCTGGATGAGTCCGCATGGCAAAGCACATAGCAACTTCTCTTAGTTTGTGAGAGAACTGTGGCAATTCAAGGCCGGAGAAATCCGCCCACACCGCTTTGGCGGTGAAGGCGTGCTTATTGGGGGGCAACAGCAACACTAAATGCTCAATGACATTTGTTAATATAGCAGTCGCTATATCAGCTTTAGCTGGGGGGGGGGCCAAAAACGGTTTCGCACCGAGACCAGACCCCAAAAACGGTTTCGCACCGAGACCAGAATACGGTGGTGTTTTCGACATTTTTCGAGGATTTTTGGGTGTCTGAGCGCAAGAGGGTATTGAAATGGAATTTTGGGTCATTTTGGTAGCTTTCCGGCAATGGAAAAACGGCCAAAAATGAAAAAAACATTGTACATAGCAAGATTTTGCAGGGTTTTTGGATGCCAGAGCATTGAAAACACTGCAAAAACAAGTGTTTTGGACTGACGTTATAGCAAAAAACGTGTAAATTACCGTATGCTTGACTGGAAACATTACAAAAACACTGTCAAAAGCAATGTTTTGGAAGGATTTACTGCCTTTATGGCAAAAAACGTGTAAATTACCGTCTGTTTGACTGGAAACATTGGAAAACCACTGTCAAAAACAATGTTTTGGAAGGATTTCTTATTGAAACTTCTTAGCTTGAAGAGCCCCCACGGGGGAAAACCACCCTTAGCCCCTCTCACGGACCGAAATAAACCTGCGGTGTGGGCGGCCACCCCACGCGAAGCGGGGTGAATAGAATGAAGAACGAAAGACACACCTGAAGCCACCTGCCAGAATTTGTACACCAATAACCCAAAGATGACAATGATGACCACAGGACAACAAGTTCAACTGCCCATGGAATCCATCTGCTCTGAATGATCTTTCAAAGCAATATTTCTCCATTGACAACCCCGTAAGAACCAGCACTTCAATGCCACCCAACTCAGCCCACCATGAATACTGCAAATTGATACCAGGATCTACCAGGTACTTTTATGTTTTGAGAAATGTTGAGAAGTTGAAAACCTGACTAAGACGAAGCCCCCATGTCAGGCTTAGGCTTGCCTCCACAGCAGCTTGGTGACACGACCAAGGAGGGTGGGCTCCTTAGTGATGCAATGCAAGAACACCTGGCCCAAGAACTGACATCGGAAACCACAAATCACGAGAACTGACAATAAAAAACATTCGAAAAAACATACAATTTTGGTGAGAGCGCCAAGAGACACCTATATGCTGGGCGGTCTGCATCCTCACCTTGACGGACCTTGCCGAAAGCATAGTCTATTTCTGGCATATTCAAAAAATATGCCAATATGATGCCAATATGCTTTTCTTTTCAATCTGAATGCTGTCAGGCTGCTCAATGGGATGCGACAACGTCACTGCAATACAGGATGCTAGGATGCCTGTGCTTTTTGGCAACGCAGCACATTATTTTGTTTTCCGTGCAAAAACACAGCGAAACTCAATGCGTGCAAATTTGGGGCTTGTCCAAGCCCAAATCGGATTGTTCCCTAAGTGGAGATAATGTAGGCTAGTAGCGTGAGAATGACAAGATAAACAGCAATTCCCAATGGCCCATGATTGAAAATCCAACAACACTTTGTGAAACGTCTACCCGACTTTGCCGTGGACCCCGCCTGAAACAGCACCAACGGCGTAGTCCCGATTGGGGAAAAAGTAGAAATACATGGCTGTTGGCCATCAAGCACTTTAAAGTTGCTTACTTTGACAGGTACAAAGCTGGGATGTCTGATGTCTTTCCATTTGTCCAAATGATTCAAATGAGCAAGGTCATCGGGTAGGATTATGACCAGTTGGGAAACCCAATATGTCAGGTTCGGTTGTCAATCAAGGTGTTGGTTTGGTGATAGTGTGTAGCACCCCAGTTTCCTTGGTTCCTTGCACTGCAACCATTAACCATACCAATTCTTGGACGATGTCTAGAGACAAAGCACCGTCTTTGGCAAACTGTCGTCTGTTTATTCATGTACTCTGTGTCCTCGCAAAAACAACTCAGTGTAAAGCAGACAAATCAAACACATCACACATCAGCAAACCAATTTAAGTTGTTAATACACATCATGATCATGCGCGTGCTTTGATTTCTGCTGCACCAACAGCGGGATGACATTCTGCGCTAATGTGTTTGGCCTGGACCCCTTGCTCCCTCTTCTCTGTCTCTTCCGGCTTCTTTGTTCCCTGATGCGCAATGACACAAGAAATCAGCAGAATACTTCCAATGGGCCGGGGTGGAAGCTCCGCTCAGCATTCCTTGGCTGTTTGACTTTTTGCTACAGGACTGCACTTAGGACGTTCGGTATCCGTTGCAAGGCTGAGCAAGAATGTTACGTCAGGTTTGGGCTGACTCACCAGAAAGCCATTAACATGAACACATCTTGTATACATCTGCAAATTCAATCAAATTCATGTTTGAGGCAGCAGGTCAATCCAGCTTGAATCTTGTCCTGCTCTGCCTTCTTCTCCTGCTCCTTTCGATGACGAATTCGAACCTCTGCTGACTTAACCAGCTGCCTCATCTCAACTCGTGCATGCACGAATGCAACTGGGCTTAGATGAAGACATCCTTCAGAATCTTGAGACTTGGCGACTGGGCCACTGGGCCCCACTGGGCCCCCTGACCCTGCAAACTGTCGCTCAAGCCGTGCGACCAGCTCAGCATTTGACATCTCCCCACCTCCAAATTCCTGCAATACATGGCAGCTAGGCACAAGGCGCTTAGAAATGCATCAGGCTTGGCATGTTTGCACACAATCTGCCACCCACTGTGTTCTTGTTGATGTCGGCACTCGACCCAAGAGACCATTTCATTCTTGCACAGCACATGCTTGCAAGTGTCGCCAGGCAGGCAATGTCACTCCAAGTATTCCGCATCACCGCCTGCCAACGCAAAGCAACTGTTATATATTGCGTTGCAGGTGCACGGCACAGCCTGCCTCACGTTCCTCAGCAATATCCGCAGCATGAAGCAAGAGAGCTGCCCTTTCAACAGGGCCTACCTAGCCAAGATGACGAAGTGAAAAGAAGGCCTGAAAAGCTAAGAGCCTTTTTGAGAGAAAAAAGACAATTTGAGAAAAACCTTGAAGCTGAAATCAGACCAGAACTACTACAAGTGCACATGCCTGCAAATGTTTAAGTGTCGAAACTTCCGGCGTGTCTTGTCTTTGCCTCTTTGGTACCCAGCTGGGACTTGAGCTCATCCCAAGGTACCTGGAAGTTGCGATATCAGATTGACTCGGCCCTTGCAGCAATGTAACAGGCGCACATTCACTCTTTCTGAGTCCAGCATGGAGTCAGCCATCAGCTCTTCATCACCTTCCTACCAGAAGCAAGTCAGTAGAGGTTGTCAAAATAAACTTAGGCTCGCCATGGCTTGCCCAGCTTGGACAGAAGTTCACCAAAGATCAAACTGTTTCGACGTTCAAGACTGGACATGAGCGGTACATGAAAAGTAAAATTAGTCCACACTGAGTCCACACTTAGTTGTGAACAACGTGCTGATTGTGCTCTCAGAAACCACATCACCTCCGGCTCGCCAGCCACACTTCGTAGCAGGCTCCGTGCTTCGGCACGAAGTTTGTCCTTCCGAGGCATCGGATGCAGCTGCTGCAGCAGGATGCTCCGTGGTGAATGCACGGCGTGACGCTGATAGTTTGATCGCCTCTGTCTTTCGGTTTACACGGCACACTTCGACAACTCTACAACATCTGGTAAACCCCTGCGTTAGTTTCCCCTGATTCTTCCTAAATGCCTAGTTCGCGACAGCATCACGGTCCGGGATTGTCCATGCCCGATTCAGACACAGCCCAAGACCACCTGCACAAGTGCTGGGGCAAGAAAAAAAGTGCAGTCGAGAATCAAGTCAAACAAGCCATGGACTTGTTTTTTTGGCTCATATTGCCACAACAAAAAAAAAGCTGCCATTCACACCTGCCGCTTCATACTTTGTGGCCAACATGCGATCCTCTTCGCTCAAAGTCATGAGAGCCTTGAGCGATTCAAAGTGTAATTATGTTCCTGATGTTTGTCGGCAGTGTCCATCCTCATATTCACTCTCGTGCCTGGTAATCGGTCAAGACCTACTGTAGGGGGGAAAACGAAAAAAGGAAGAGTAGGAACGCTGCAACAGCAGGGCTGCCTTCATCACAGTTTGAAAAGCGAAAACATCAATCGAAGGCCACACTAAACCTTCGATGCGACTGTTGATGACCGGAATCCTGGAGCAATTGATAGGCGGTTAGCTGATAATTCCATAGTATTCATCCGAGGTGGTGCAGGATCTCTTCCTTCTACCACAGTCTTACAGTATCCTGCACTACACATCTTGCCCTTTTTGGGGGGATTAGCCTGTATGGGAGCGAACTAGCACTTAGAATATTCTTCAACTTAGCACCTCAAAACATTCCAATTTCAAAACCGAAATCATGCTCTTGGAATATGGAATCTTCCTGGTGCGGCCTAGCAAACAGAATTTGGATCTTGTGCTCAGGAAGAGTATGTATTGAGATCTTTGAGCTTTTTCGCTTATTCCAGGTGTTGGTAATGCTGAGGAAACGGTGACCTTTTGGGCTCCTTGCCTGGCTCTGGGAAGACTGCGAGGGATCCCCTCCTGCGGTGTCAATGGGTAACTGCACTTTGGGGGAGCAATCCTTCTCAAGTCATAGGGCAGAGTCGGGTAGAGCGAAAGATTGCATGCCATTTCCGCCAAAGGGTAAATCATGCTGAAACATGCTGAAACCATAAACGAGAGTCGGATCCGTTCCAAACACTCTGACAACAACTCAACTCATTTGTCACATCTCTCGCAGTCTCTGCTTCTTCCATGTGCCTGGGCCCCACTGATGGTACACGAATGCAGTCTGCAGCGCATCAACTGTTGAGACTGATGGTTCTATCATCAGAGCATAACACATGATCCCATCATCCACATCATGCACATCTCCTGTCGATTGCATCTTCCACCTCAAGCCATCAAACTCCATTCCTTCGAACCTCAGTTGATACCGCCCCCAAGGTGTGGCCCGGGGCGGCCATCTGTTTTTCACTACTAAGGTCCCGCAGCAGCTTAGCCCCCAGGGCCCTGACTCTGGGCCCACTTCAGCAAAGCGTCCAGGTTTGTGACCCGGATGCATCTCCTGCACAGCGGCTGGCTGCCAGCTGACTCGACTCTGCCAAGATCCCAGGATCTCCCTTGGAAGTTGGTGGCCTCGCTGTACTCGTCCAACAACTTCATGGACCTGAGACCCAGCGTTCTGTGGATTCAGACATCACCAGAGGAGAGAATGGCAAGAACAGCAAGAGAGATTTCATCGGCCAGCACAAACAATATCGACAAAATGTCACTCCAGGCGCTGAGCGGTCGTGCTAAGCGATCCTAAGAAGCTTGAGAAAAACTTCTCCGAACGTCCAGGGGACCTGGCTTTGCCACCCGGTCAGCGCTCTCATCTTCAAGAGCGGGATCCTGACTGCGCAGAATGTTGCAAGGCCCCATGGCAAGCCATGTTGGTACCAGAGACAATCTGAAATCAAGAACTTTCAATGGCTAGACTCCGCTAAAAAAAACACTAAACTAACTAAACAGTCCCAGAAACGCCGGATTTGTCTGTCCTGCTCCGTCTCTGGCGATTCCAAGTCTGCACTGGTTTCGGTCATCTCTGGCTCCAAAGCTGCCTCCCAGATCTTTCGCAGAGTCTGCAACAAAGAGAACTACAGTTGGGCAGCGAAGTCCAGCAGCGTAGCACATTGAGTGCGGCATATTTTACATATTACAACAGCTTACAAGTCGCACAACACGATTTTTGGTCAGTGTCTTGAAGTTTACACGGTTTCAGCTGCTGCAGCCTGCAAGCGCAAACGAGATCCAGCACGTGAGGCGTGGCGTGCAGCAACGCCCTGAGTGCCAGCCACTGTATATAATCCTGTTGTAAGAACACAAAAAGGGAAGGTTCGGAAGGTTGAATGGATTTGAATGGTTTACCATGCTCCAGATATATTCGGACTCTCTTCTCCAAGAAGACTTAAAAAGGAAAAAAAAAAAATCCTGGCAAACACATGTGACAGGCACAAACACAAGGTTCTGGCAGCAAGCATAATTGAACATACAGTTTGTCCAAGTAGCTGCAACCACACCAGCCCAGGCTCGATGAGATACCTCGCTCAGGTGATACCATCTGATCTAAAATGATATGTATTATATTATATTATAATATATATATAATATATATATATACACATGTATCGACTCAAACATGTTTCATTGCTGTGCCTAACATGGAACACACCAATTTTGATTGCGGTCCTGAAAAGACTGCACTTTTCAGCTGTTTCCGCACTGGACAATCAAAGCACTGTTGCAGGTTCGGCGCTGTTCGCCGTAAACTCAAACCTTTGGCCAATCGCAGGACTGATTCCCATCAACGCTTGCCTTTCCGTCCAGAACGAGACCGCTTGCTTTCCGTTGAGGAGCTGCTCGACTTGCGTTTTTTCTCCTTACCTTTGGCTACTTTGGTTTTCGGAGTCCGCTCTGAACTGGTACTTGAGCTCTCCTTCCCTTTTCCCTTCTTGCGATCATCTGCTTTTGAGCCCGTCTCCTTTTTGGAACGTTTGCGGGAACTGCTCTCACTTGAGCTGCTTTTGCGTCTTTTTCGACTTTCACCTCCTTCACTCCATGAGTTTGCTGCCTCCTCTAAAGCCTTTTTATGCTTCCCACTGAACAAGTGCAGGTTCGCTGTTAGCATGGCCTTCAGCTTGCCGCGATGTGAAGCTTCACTGGGCACAAAGGCTTTGTGCTTCATGACTTCGTACAAAGCTGCAGCCTTTAATTTGCCTTCGGCTGCTTGCATCAACGCCATTTGAAGCCAATCTACCCGAGAATCGCTTTCCATGCTCAGCACAAAGTCTGGTTTGGTGTTGATGAGTTCTTCGCTTTCGGAATCGCCCGCTTCGCCAGCTGGCCCCGCTGGCTTCTGGGGTCTTGGCCGCCTGGCCGTGACCTCCGCATCCAATAAGCGATCGTCCCGGCGGTTTGGATTGAACCGGGCATTTCGCTTGTTGTTGTTGACCCAAGCCATGCGATCACACGCACCGAGAATACGACATCTGGTCACATCTGGTCACATTGCGCTAGACACATGACTAATGCGTGATGTGTTGTGCTTGTCTCAAATTCTCAAACTATGCAATAATGGCAGTTCAGGCATGTTTAAGCATGTTCAATCTGGCTCTTTCTATGGTGACCTAAAAGTGATATTCTTGCTGGATGCAGATACCAGCAAATTGACCAAGTATTCATTTTCCAGAAGTGTTATCTTGTTCTGCTTTCGAGCAGAGTCTGTTGGCTTTCAGACAGAGCTTCTGTTTCGTGACTCTTGATCGCAGGAGCCAAACGGCCCGGTGCAGACAGGATCTTGGTACAGCTGATTCTCCATTCAATCATTTGCCGATAAGCAAAGCAAGCAGTGTCACTTCTTGGATAAAACACCTGTGCTTGCCTGCCCACGTGGACATCTCCACTTCCTCGCTGTAGCTCGCAAGGGCCTACGATCAGAGAGCTTCATGATGTCAGGAACCAAAGCTTTAGCAAACGGCCTATATGAAAAACCAGCCAAATACCTACTTTCGGGTTTTTCTGTTCCGATTTCAACATTGCCTCGAAGCTTGTCTTAAAGGCTTTCTAGAGATTTGAATAGCTTGAGAAGAAATCGCCCTTATGATCTCGTTCGCAAGACCTGCTGACTTGCTTTTTGTTCTGAAAGAGGCTTCACTAAGTTGTAGAAAGATTTGAGTGGCATGTTTGCTGATCCTCAACAGAAAATTCCTTGTACCACCTCTGCTCCCATCACTCTTTGTCCAAGGCCTGATCATGTGCTGCATCGTTGCCTTTGCCGGAAGACTGTACAAAGCAAAGGCAGTGACGACAAAGGCTTTGTTTCTCATGCTGGAAGCACCAAACGATCGCCTAAAACCTATTCTGCCTTTTGAAATAAAATCAAGGTCCTTTGGTGTCGTTTGGGTCGCACCCAAAGCGCTTGTACCAGAACCTCTCGCCCAAGGACTTTGTCACAGTTAGTTTCAATAAGTCTGACTCTTTGTCCAATCTGAGCTCCCGTGCTTTTGACGGACTAGCTGCCGCAAGCATCGTGTGAAAAAGTCTTACTTCCTAGTGTTCATTTCGTACATCATCCTGCAGCAGAAAAGTTTGCGGGTAATCTAATCCCATGGAAAGCAGCTGAACAAAAAGACTCAAGTAGCTTGTGCACTCGTATCCACCTGGGGTTGCCAAACCAATCAGGACAGCTAGAGTTTCTTTGTGAACAGAACAGCTGCAGCAAGGACCATGCTACAACAAAACGCAGTCTTGTACTTTCATAAGTTGAACTTGAACCTGCAGCGGGAAGTGTCAGTATCATCTTCTGCAAAAGCAGCGACCCGTGAAAGCTGTGGATGAATTTTGTTGATGCAAATGCCAGCCCAATTAGTTATACCCAGCCTGTTAAACAAATCACAAGGCTTGTACCAGCAAAGACACGCTGCGCACAGCCGAGTTTTTTTGCCCACGTCTTTGCCACAGGTCAGCAACAAAGTAGAACTATAGCCATATATGGCTCAAATATATTAAAACAGGTGCCTCTGCGACATGAAGTTCTCTGTGAGCTTGGGCAGTCTCGATGGCGAAGCTTGAATTCCTGCCATAGCTCCGCCATAGCTTGCCTACATGAAGGGATTGTGCCGTCGAAGCGGTTCTCGCCCTTCTCGCTGCCTTGCTTCATCTTGCAGATCTTGCAGCTGGGCTGCTGAACGTTCTGAACGTTCGAGCAAGTGCTTTGCACCGACACTAACAACTCCGTCGGTGACTGTGCTTGCTGGTTCAGGTCAACATCTTAGGAGTCGTCCTGACGAAACGAAACCCAGTCATTTCTTGTTCAGTTAACATCACAAAAGCAAAGCACCAAATCACTTCACTGCATGTCAAGTCGTGCCTCTGGGCGACTTTGCTATTGCTCCCCACAGTATACTGTCAGATTGCTGCTTTCAACATATTTGGAAACCTAATGAAACCAATGCCAATGCAATGAACAAAAAGGAGGGCAGCACAAATCTTGAAACATTCTGAAACGTGGTCGAAACGTGGTCCTCGATCCATGTCAGTGCCATACGGTCTTGATTGCAATCAGAGTGGAGGATCACATCCGTGATGGGTCGTGGATCCACCGCGCCCTCATAGGGATGAATGCATCGCCCAGACTCATGCCGTAAGAGAAAACCACCTTTCGGACCTTTCGCAGTTGAGGGAATCTTCTTGAAGTGTGGCTGGTAGGTCTTCGATGCCTTAGGAAATTGCCGCTTGACAGTGGAGTGGTGAAAAAGCTCAAAAAAGCCGGATCGCTGAATGTTCATTGCAAAGCAGCTTGACGATCGCACACATCTGTCGCATTTGTATAGCATGGATTTCTCCTAAACACCTCTCGAATTAGACCGAGAAGACCCTTCATTGCGACTGCCGGCTTCCTTTGTGCTAAGTTGCACAGTCCACTGGAAAAGCCAATCTCGGCTCCTTGGGCGTCATCTCTGGATCATCATCCCCCTCGACATGAGTGCACCTCTTCAGGGCGAGTCACAAGGCAAGAGAAAGACAAGGCAATTGTGGCCATCTCACGGACTCCCCCCACCTCCTTCCACCTCCTCCCCCCACCAGCCCCACCCAGCCCCCGCCTGCCGCCCTGCTTCAAGAGAACTTGATCCTCTGCTTCCACCACTCGGATGTTCTTCTCAACCTGTTGCTGAGGATTATGGCCGACCAACATGACACAGGAGAAAATGAGAAATTCCTTACTCACAACAAAGGTAAAGAATGGCCCACCGCACCATCTGTTCAATGATTCTGAGCGGCTAGATGGCCCCCTATATATTCAACACCAATGTCAACCAACGTCCTCTTCCCCAACCCGCACCGGAGGAAAAGAGCAGCTCAATAGCATCAGCGTGCCATCGCCATCCTCTTCTGAGGACCGTAGGCACAGACCAGCCGAATGCTTCAGCAAGCGCCCTACACCAAGCACAAACGCAAGGCAAGATCTGACAAATATGCCAAGACTGTAAAGATGTGTGAAGCCTGTTGACCCTTGTTGACCTTTATTCTCAAAATCCTCGAAAAATCAATCGACAGCATCCCTTTCCAAACTAATTTGGCGCACAGCTCCCAGCGCTCCCAGCGCTCCCAGCGCTCCCAGCGCTCCCAGCGCTCCCAGCGCTCCCAGCCTTCCCGAGCCCAGCGGAGCTCTTCTTCAGTAGGTGGTGGCCTTGAGACTGTCTGGCGATGCAGCAAACTTTCACGACGGTGCCTGCCAAGTCAAAGATTTTTTTTGAGTTTTTGTTCAGCGAAAAACAAGAGAGATCTAAAGAATTGAAAAGACATCAATGGAGATTCTTGGCAAAAAGGAAGTGGGTCAAACTCGGCTAGCCCGAGAATTGGTCTTGAATGCCCAGGGTCCTCACTCCTAAACCCTACACATATTAGTGCTCATCATAGACACTACCGCAAGATTTGCCTGCAAGGTCCCACACTCCTTGTCTCTTGGCCTATATTACCACCTACTTTCCAAGCCTGAATTGGAGCTTGTCGCACTCCTTTTCAGAGCCCCGCTCACGTGTGGGCTTGTGATGAACTCGGACCTTAGACACGATGCATCCAGGGTGGAACCACAAACTCCTTTGAGAAGAGAGACAGAAGCTCATACTGGATTTTGCGACTGTTGCTTGTTGGGTTTCAAAGCGGAAAGTGTAGGTTCTGCCACAGTTGCACCCTGCTACTACTTCGATGAGCAGAAAGTGTAGAAACAGCCGTCAGACATAGCATGGAAAACTGGCAGCTTCAAACAAGATGTCGAAACACATTGCTGAACATCCTCGGCAAGAAGATTTGCTCGGTTGTTTCATTCATGGACAGTGTAAAGTCTGAAAAGTGCTGCTATCCCTTTCGATCCGGTCTGGAAGCACACTTGTCTTGGAATGGATAGCCGTACATTTGACGAGGTACATGTCGGCAGTCCAAGTCTGCTCGACAAGAGCTGTCTGTCTGGTAGTTCCATATGCAACGATCCAACTGTGCTGCTTGGAAGGTATCCCACAGGCCGACACTTTCCAGCGCTCTTTTGCTACCTCCAGACCACAAGCGTTCAGAAATGGACAATCCCTTCAGGAGAATCTGATTTCAGGAACCCCCCCCCCTCCTTCATTTCCTTCATGCAAGGGAACCCAAGCCGGAACTCACATGGAACATGCAGCAAAAATACAGAAGTTTCGAGCCTAGTTTTCCCGACGTTTTTCACTCTTGGCGACTAGTAAATGAATCAAACCCAGCTTCAATCGATGTTCTGACTTGCTTTGAAGCGGTGGAAACAGATTCAAGGCGACTGATACGTATGTCTTCCTTGCCAATGGTGTACCCAGCTACCAGTGCTATCATATGCATCCCCAATCAAATGTTTTGTCAAATATGTGGTAGTCAACCATGATGCAAGTCCCCTGCCGGTCCAACCTTCGGATTTTCTGTAGAACAAAGTGTAGAAGAAGCCCTGACATCGCCGTGATTCGGGTCTGAGGATGTTGGATGCAGAAAAGATGCAATGTCAACGATCTTTCAAGAGATGCAGTAAGAGGAAGATCATCATTGAAAGAATTGATTAAGGCCATTTAAGCCCGATTGGACATGATTGGACTCGTTCCATCAAAACAAGTCCAGTATAGTCCAGTGCTCTCCTGTCCACATTCGCCACCAACGTAGTACCCACCATTCGGCGCCCATCCAGCACCGCCCCAACCAGTGTTGTGATCAAAGGCATTTTGCTGAGCAAACAAGACCTGCGGTGTTCTGACTAGCCCGGATAGTTTCTACTTGGAAAACTTGCGTCATGGCAAAGATTGATTATCGATTGTTCTCTTCTCCCTTCCGCCATCCATGCATCATTCAACACATTCAACATTCAACATTCACAAAGGCCCTGTTTGCTGCATGCAACTTGGGCACAGCTGCATCCACAAGGCGTTTATCTGGCTTCACGGTGAAGAAGCCCACGTTGAGGGCTTCACCCATTCCACCAGAAGTGCTCAGAAACTTCCTCAGATTGTTGGCGCTACATCGTCCCTACATGTCGTACATGTCCTACATGCAGCTGCAGCTTGTAAGACCCACTGTGTCTTCAAAGCTTCCCCGAAGCAGCGCATCGCATCATTGGAGTGATATCACCCTCGGATGATGCAGCTTACCAACTGGACGCGCATTTTGGTTGAATGGGAGAATGGATGGAAGCTTCACTTGCACATCATTCTCATCAAAGACATGAATAAGAAAGGCGGTCGAAGCCGCTTCGTCGAAGCCATGTCTGTGGACATCACTTGATGTATCATTCAAATTCGACATGTTTGACATGATGACTGTAAAATGAAAAGGATTCCTGATTCACTGACGGACGCAACTGAACAGGACCCCCCACCATTCTTCCTACCCACCTGAAACTCACAGTCGCCATCAAAGTAGGCAACGGCATCATAGCCCTCAATCCCAAGAACGTTTAAGCGGATAAGGTCTTGGTGACCACACCAATCCTTGGCAGGCTCAAATCATATCAAATCCAAACCCAGCTCGAAAAACGGGATTCATGTCATAGATCATGCCTGACAAGAAAAACAGAAACACATTCAAACACATTGAAATGAACAAGTCATGATTGGTGTTGCAAATGATGCATTGTAAAAGCAAACCGTTTTGCCTACACTCAGAGAAGATGTCGCGTTGAAGGGAAATGCAGCCCAGCTGCCTTCTTTGGATAATGCTTTGCATTCGGCGGCACGTCCCAATCAACGGTATACAGTTTGATTCCCCACTTTTGGAAGAGCTTGGCAATCTTGGGTGTGGTTTGATTGGCATCTGACTTCAACATCACCTCAAAGCAAGAAAAACAAATCGGATCAAACAAAGATTCAAAGCACATCCAGTATTTTTTTGTCTATACATGAACTCTGAATAACTCTGATTTGTCAAGAGGACCAACAATCTGTCTCTCACACACGACGATTTGAAAACACCAGGAGTCTGAAATCAAACGACTAACCGACTCTAGCAGACTCTAGCATTCAATTTGTCCTGGGGCTCCCACCATCAGAAGATCAGTTTGCCCCAGCTTGTCAGCTGCAGCTCTCATGGATTTGATGGAGCCCAACATCCCTTCGCTTGGTCTTCCCCAATGGCTCAAGACCAAGGCATATTTTCCTGTCGGGCAGTGTTTGGCAGTGGCACTGCGAATGCGATCACCTCAACACCTGAAAGACACTTCGCAATGGAGGCACAGCGACCAAACAGAGCAGGATTGACAAATTCCCCAAAACAAACCCTAGTCCTTTGACAGGTCCCTCTTCAGCACACTTCTCCACGTCCAAACATGGAACATTGTGCACATCCTTGAAAATTCAGGGTCGTCGCTGGCTGTGTTCACTTGAAATGAATGCATACATAAACACACACAAGTAACCAAGTGTAGGTACTAGTAACACATATACACATGCACATTTCAGTGTGTATGTACACTATTCTTCGCAGAGTACAAGTTGGAAAATGGTAAATTGCAGAAGAGAACCAACTCTCGTTTTGAATCAAAAAGTATTTGGGCTATAAATGCAAACCAAATCAGAAGTGCTGGTCAGCAGTCCTATGTGAAGAAGAAACCGTACAAACGGACAAACATCTGGCAAACTTGCAACGATCCCCTTCTGGAATAGTTGACTCCAAACATTAAGTTTTGGTGAGATTGCTTGAGATCCTTAACAGCTATCCTCGGTAATTCGATCCCAGCCATGTCTTCATCCTCAGCAGTTTGTCCTGGCTACAACAACCTTCGCAGCCCGGCACAATTGGAAGCTCATGCAGTTGCCAGGTGGGCTGAGCCTCCAGACTTTCACCAAGGCGGGCATGTTGTGTGAAAAATCCAAGAAAAAATCATGAATCGGCTGAAAAATTAATTCCAGTGTCGTCATGTATTCATCGAATCACCGTCTGTTTGTGGGATGCATCAAATTCAGTTCATTTAGTGTAGTTTATTGTATCACCGCACCATCCACATCATTCAGACATGCATCGTCATCGTCATCAATCTTATAATGAGCAGCAGAGGACAGACAATGGGCATTATTTTACAAACCCATAGCCAAACCTCTGCAATACTAACCCGAAACCCTGGCCTTTGGACGCAGCGGTTGCAACCCTTCGTTGGTTTGAGTTTGTGGTTGTGCTGCCTGTAGCAGGACTGTCTCTCCTGAAGCACCAGATGCCACTTCCGCCGCAAAGACTTCCTAACAGGCCGGACAAATCTCCGAGTCATAGAGGATTTGAAAAAGATCCAAGCAAACTAAGCAAACGATTTTCAATGAAGACCTTTTGCCTATTGCATTTTTTCGAGGAGTTAGTTGCACATTCTGACGTCCTGGCGTATCTTCGAAATCAATCAATTTTGGAACCCTTGAATCATGTGACTTGGAGAATCAACCAATGCAGACAAGTTTCTCCTGACAAGGTGCCCCGCACTACAAGCAACACCAGAACAGCTGCCACCAAACTCCAACACCAGCGTTTCCAGCCTTGGATTCCACTTGCATTGTGATCTGCAGATAGATAAATAAAGAAATCAATTAATAAATAAATGAACAAACAAACAAACAAACATGCATTACATTACGTTACGTTACGTTACGTTACATTACATTACCTTACCTTACCTTACCTTACCTTACCTTACATTACAATACATTACAATACATACATACATAAATAATCCCTGCATGTTTCACAGATTTGCGTGATACCGTCCAAATTTCAACCACATACTTCAAGCATAAGTTTTGACAAAACCCTTGATGGATTCATAACCACTTAGCAGCGGCAACAACAACAACCACAGCAACAGCAACAACAACAACAGCAACAACAAATTTGTTCAGACCCCCGTACACAAATGGCACATCAATACCGCCATCGACAAAATTGTCACAATGATTATTGTCCTGAGACTTGTCACAACAACTAGGACTGCCAGTACCAACACAATTGTTTGTTCATGATAATATATTATGAATGACAAATGACAACAGTTTTGTCAATTGGCCAAAGATTCGGCCAAAAAAGGTTCAAAACTATCATATCCAAATCCTTTTTTTGGCCGAAACCAATAGCACCGTTTTGTTTCGTGTGGGATTTATTCCAATCATCGTTTTGGAACAAGAAAAACAAAAATTCACCATCAACACCTTGAAGAGCATCCGTTCGTTGTTTTTTTTTTTTGTGCAACCCAACAGGGCAACCAATAAATTGCAATTGAGCCGCGACAACCTGCAATACAAAATCTCTGTTTGATTTGGGGATGAAAATTGCAATTGAATATGATTAATATGATGATTCTGTGATGTCGCATGTTTGCATTTGCAAAATTCACGCCGCGCCATCAACCTGCGTCTGATGTCGCGACGATGTGCCCAGCCTGTTTTCTGCTTGCGAGCCATTGCGAACAAGGCCCCTCCATCACTAAAACCACAAAATATCAATTTTGTGCATTGTGGACTACTAACAGGATGCATTTTGGCAAAAAGGCCGGTGATGGTCAAATCCCTAAATCAATAACAATTTCAAATTTGGAATAATTTTGGCGGGAAAAAACCATGCTATGTCACATTACAGTTTCTGTTTTGGCACTTTGATGCATATACGTGGGCAAACGTGATTGATGTTCTTTGTTTGTTCGAAACTGATTTAAAGAAATAACGTTTCATGAATCCAACACATGCAAACTGCCTAATGTTTTGCAATTTATGTTTGGGCAAAATGTTTTTCGAACCATCTGCTCTGTGGCACCAAGACATGACGCGGTAGTCAGTGAACACACAATTCACACCCCACAACGATGCCAAAAATGATGCCCATATTTTCGGATTGAATTTGCCATGTGTTTCTGGCAGCATTTCAAAGAAATTATTCCGGCAAAAGACCCCAAACAGTGTGCAGTTAGGATTCTCAAGGGAAAAGTGGAAAGGACCCAAATTCATCAGCGGCTGCAAGCTAGCAGGACAAGAGCGACCCTAGTAATGAAAACATTGTGTTCAATCAAGGTGGTCTCTGGAAGAAAAGATGCCAGGTCAGATTCTGCAAGTTCCCTTTGCGAAGATCTTTGTAAAGGCTCATGCGCAGGATCTCCTTGACATGTGCAAGATCCGTGAGTAAGGCCATCTGTACAAGGTGCCTGTGGGAGATCTCCACAGAAGATCTTTGTAAGGGATCTCAAAGTAAGATCTCTGTATATTTCTGTTCAACTTATCTATAATTCTCAAAGATTCAGGCAGCACGCAAAACACAGTTACCTTTTCTGCTATAGTTTCTTCGAGCCACTGTTTGGGCGGTATCACATGAATTGATTTGTGCTGAGTCATCCTTGCACAACCATGCCATGCAAATCTTCTCTGTATCGTTCCTAGCATCAACTGGAGACATGACTGATCCTAAGGAGTGCACTTACTAAAATCTGACACCCCACCATGACAGCATTCTTTTCGGATTGTTGTGACCTTTCGTGGTGCTACCTGCAGTTTCTAAACCCTTTACCTACGCCTACTGTGCCATGCATAGACTCTCTGATTGGTCTCCAGTGCCCAGGTGCTTTGGAACAAAAGAATTTTTTTCAGCATTTCACCACCTATCAGTGTCTCACTGGATCCATGCTATCATCTACCATCTACCACCGCATGCACTGATTGCTTCAAGTGATATCCATGAGGGCCTCAACCTCATGCAATGCACGCAGTATCTCTGCTGCTTCCTCCCAGTTTCCAACCGTAGCTGCTTCATCATGTCTTCTGGTCAGTGTTGCTACTGCACGTCGAAGTCGAATCCGGTTGGCTCTGGAGTGCGCAAGCATTCGATCATATGCATCATTGTCCAAATGACCGTATTGCAGATTTGCCCATTCATCCGGGTCAGATACCTCATCTTTGAACATGCCAGGTATCTTCTGCGCCTTTCCTCTGCTGTTTCGGCACCCATGTCCTTGTCACTGCCATCTTCTGCTTCAGGTTCTGGATGAACTCCTGGGTGAACGTCTGTACGATCGACAGTTAGACCATTCAGAGGAATGCCATTAAGGGCCATATGGACAATTTCATCACCGTTCGGATCATCAACATTGGGATCGTCTCCTCCATCAGGAGGATCGTCATCTCCTGGTTCTTCTTCACCACCTTCTGTATTTGCACCTTCATCTCCAGCATTGGCCTCACCCATTGGGACATCGATTGGATCACTTGGCTCATCCAATCGCACTCTTTCACCTCCAAGGTACTCGCAAAGATCTGCATAGATACCTTCCAGATCCACCATCATGTCACCTTGCTGTCGGGCTGCACGGAAATGTTCATGCAAATATCCAATCTCTCTTCCAAGCAACCATCTTGAAACTTGAAGTGATGGATACATGAAAAGTCGATGCCTCCATCCCATGGTCATCGGTGCGAAGCGTCTCTCAAACCACCAGGTCAGTGTGCTGTAGTTCCATGTCAAAGGCCCAAGAAACAGAAATGACACTCCGGCCACCAGCACTGAAAGACCAAGCATGTAAATGAAAGCTTTGCACACCATCGCAACCATCATCACACAACCATGGAATGCGGAAGTCATCAATCCGTCCGTTGCATCTGCAACCATCAGCCATGCAGTCTCTTTCTCGAAGGACTCGATTGGAACTTCGGCTCTTGGCATTGAGCTGCATCCTTTCAACTGTGTGAACACTCCCAACGTAGCTGTTGCAACTTGAATCAAACGCACGCATTGTTGTCTTGCAACCCTGTTGGCATGGCGCACTCTCCTCAGTTCACTATCATCATTTTTTCATCAAGACCGGCCATGAAAAGACCAATCATTATTCCACTAGCAAAACCACCAACAACACAAACCAAGGAACGCAGAACCAGCGAGCTGGCAAAAATGTTCACACATAAATTCTCGCTCCGCGTTAAAATTATGTATCGAACAAACTATCAATATTTATATATTGTATAGCGTCCGCAAAACGACGGGTCACGCGCCACTAGATATCTACAAAATAAGAACAGTGCAGTTCGGAAAATGAATCGACGTGTCTGAACAACATGCATCTGCAAGCACCTTTTTCAAGCCAAGGGGTTGATCCAGGATTTGGGACTCGTTTTCATTCGGCTGAGTCTGAGCACCCGCCTTCAAGGCTGAGGGCTAGGCTTAACGATAGAGTCCCCTAAAAACGTGACGTGAGTGCACGGAAAACAATGTTGAAAACCCAAGAGAGGGTGTAGGTGGGAGGGTAAACCTCTTGGGTCTACCCTAGTCCTTTGAACCGAAGGACTCAACATTTCAAAGATTCACCACGTTCCCGTGCAACATGTTGAAGTTTGACTTGGAACCGTTTCACGTTTCACAAGTTTCCAGGAGAGTTAAAGCTTCAAAACCTAGAACCTCAAACCACCAACTCTGAAAATAACAGCAGTTGTGGAAACAGTTCAAGATTTAAACAGAAAAAAGGAGTTTGTTTGTCTCTGTTGGTTTCTTTTGCATCACGCCACGCACGCAAAAGATTTTGCTTTGAGGAATAAGGTTATCATCCTTTCAGGAGCGCTAACTTATTCCACTAGCAAAACCACCAACAACACAAACCAAGGAACGCAGAACCAGCGAGCTGGCAAAAATGTTCACACATAAATTCTCGCTCCGCGTTAAAATTATATCGAACAAACTATATCAATATTCATACCCTGAATAGCGTCCGCAAAACGACGGGTCACGCGCCACTAGATTTCTACAAAATAAAAACAGTGCAGTTCGGAAAATGAATCGACGTGTCTGAACAACATGCATCTGCAAGCACCTTTTTCAAGCCAAGGGGTTGATCCAGGATTTGGGACTCGTTTTCATTCGGCTGAGTCTGAGCACCCGCCTTCACCCCAATCCGAAGTTGTGCTCAGTCTCTTCAAGACCAAGCAGGATCACACCCCATGCACATTTGTCTTGCACTGCACCACGAGTCACCAAGTCTTCAACTTCCATGCGACTCGGGGCATCAGCAATGTTTGAGTGACTGCAGACACGACCGAACCAAACTTTCCACTGTGAAGCGTCTTCCTTTGCTACAAACATCTGGACAAGGACGTTACCCATCTGTGTCGAGGAGTAGGCTTTGATCAAAGCCAAACGTGATGCTTCATTGTCAATGTACATGACAACATAGCGGCCTGCAGTCAAGCCACCCCAGAGGAATGCTGCTACATAGCCTGCCAAAAGTTCAATTAAATCCGCCCGCACCGAAGGTGCTGGGGCGTGATCTTCCGGATGGCACTCGTAAAAGGTTACAGGTTTACCTGGGGGGGGGGGCATTTTTCGGCCAAAACCTCCTGTTTTTGATAGGTCGTGACGCTCGCCTTCAAAAAACACTGTAAAAAACAGTACGGAAAACACCTGTTCGTGAACGCGCCCGTCCAAAAAATCGGCAAGCGAAAAGTGAAAAAACTCCGTGTTTTTCAATTTGTTGACCTCAATTTTTTGGTTTGCAACATCTTTTTTTGCGGTTCCGCAGGTGGCCTGGCCCGGAAGCGGATTTTTGAGTTTTTGGACCCGTTTTCGGACTGATTTTCGTCGTTTTGTGATAGCAGAAACACTGGTTTTTACAGTGTTTTTCTGTTTTCTGCATGCTTGACGGCTAGCTTCAAAACTTCCAAAAACCTCGTAAATTACGCTGTTTTATGTTACGGTGTGAATGAAAACATCGTAAATACCAGTGTTTTTTGACGTTGGTTAAAAAAACACTGTAAATTACAGTGTTTTTGGCCACCTGACCCTCAAAAACCATGGTATTTGCAGTGGTTTCTGCTTCTCACCGCGCAAAAACACTGTAAATAACAGCAATTTCGCCGTTTTTTCATGTTTTTCGTTATTTTTTGAACTGCGTTTGCGTTGGTCCGCTATACATGGCTATCAAATTCTTCGCGTTTTTTTCCGACAATCAGTACTTTCGGATGTTTTTGGTCTCAATGGCCGACATCATTGGCAGTTACGAGCGGCTGCCCAACGATGCGGTGCGGGCGGTTGCCGTCGCGAAGCGACGTGAATAAATTGGGTTGTCGGCAACCTTCAAAAACCGCTTCATCACCAAGGCTGGTATGTTCTCACTGAAGAAGCGCAAGGGCACCCCCTCACGACTGAGCAGCACACCACCAACTGAACCTTTCAAAGTCTCAGCATCAAAAGCTCCGTCCGTAAAAATTAAAATAGCATTCTCTGTATTTGCCGTCAGAATCAGTGGTGAGCCAGTCTGGGCCCTGTCACGCAAGAAGAGTAAGGAGGAGCGCAACTCCTCATCAAGTTTGTTTTTGACTTTGGCTCCTCTCAGTTGCGCCCTCTTGCCGATCCTATATATTGAAAGGTTGGCTATACGCCCAAACAAATAAGACTCAAACCACTGAATGCGCCCTTTGAACGACTCCGCCTCTTTTGGAGAGAGCGAGTCCTGAGAAAGTATGTTGTTGATCTTTGCAAGAAGTTCTTCTCTCCTTTCTGGGGTGTGTCTGATGTAAACCACCCCTTCGTCAAATTGCGACAAATCAAATCCAAGGCTTTCATCTCTGTTCCCAGAGTTTGGCACTTCTTGCCCTCCTTCGCAAATTGAATACCCAGCATGTCAAAGAGCAGCCCCACGCACTGGTCTGTGGAGTTCGTGGAGGCATCCACTGATAGAGTGGGGAAATCATCAAAGAAAGCGCTGCACCACACCTGCAGACCCACACTGAGTATGTAGAATATTGCAGCACTCACCCCGTGAAAACACGAGAGCGGCGTGGCAGCTCTTTTTCACAGCTCGGACTTGAGCCAAACCACACAGGTTTGACACCCCAGTCACTCTTCTTCTTAGAAGAGTCGTGCAGAGTAAAACGCAGTGACACTCAAACGTCCTCAAACTTCTCAAACTACTTCAAAAGAGTTCTCAAGCTTCCAAAACGTTCTTCCAGCTTCTCCAAATAAAACGTCTTCAGCTCAAACTCAGAAATAACCTACAAAACTCCTACCGAATAAGTTCGCAACATCAAGTTCCTAAGACATGGGTCAAACAATATCCAAAAACACCAAAAACAAACGAAAATCCCTCTCCAAGCTCTTCCATGCACAAACTGGTTCCATTTGCTTCCAAATTGGTTCCTACCTGGTTCCTATAGGTTCCTATAGGTTCCTATGGGTTCTATAGTTCACAGATCGGTTCCTACAAACTTAAGACGGTTTCCTAACCGTTCACATGCACATGCATTGTTCCAAGATAGGTTTAAAGATGTTCAAGTAGGTTCAAGGTGGTTCAGTACACTGTACATCCTCTCACCAAACTTTCACACCCCTTCTTGGACAGTAGTGCTGTACACCGAAGTACCTATGGACTACCATACCGTTTGTAAGGCAACTAAGTTCTGAACCCACACAACTAAGTTCCAGACATCACCAACTAAGATCCATGCTCAACAACTAAGCTAGGAACTAGCGCACAGAAAACTCGAAATTTTCCTGGGTTTGATGGTGCCCTCAGACCAGGTGCATATTTTGTGAGACAAGAGTCTCTTTGGCTCCACCTTTGCTCATCATAGGGCAATGGCAGCGGAACAAAGTAGCCAACCAACCATACCCCATCTTTCTGAGTAACCCATAACTTTGAAACTGAGTTCACAACTTCTGCAAAAAGTTTTGTTTGAAAACGTTTGTCGTTTGGAAACCTTGGTATTTGAAACTGTCTCAGGTTTGTCATCATCATCTCATCTAAGTAAGGGGAACTGGCACCAATGGTTTGTCTTCTGGACATGGCCTTGGTGTCCAGACTTTCTGGGTATTGGGATAGAACCCCAAAGGGTACCAAGTGTCTGCGCCTCTGGCTTGTGACCTTGGGAACCCTAAACCCCTCAAGTTAGGATCATCCAAACAAAACCCAACAACAAACTGAAACAACGTTTCAAATCTGTTTCTAAACGTTTGTAACTGGTTTCCAGTCACTTGGAACATTTGGCTTCTGAACTTCAGGCTCAAGAAGTTTCTTGGAGGTGTTGTCTTCTGAACCCTTGGTGTTATCAGCCAATCCTGGTAGCTGAGCTGAGCGCTTCCTTTTTCAAAAAGACACCCACGGTAGAGGTTGAACTGCCAACCCATCCAGAGAAGACCAAACAGCAGGTCCAGAAGAACCATGACGAGCAAATCAAAAAGCCACATGGTACACGCGCGCACAAAGAGGTACAGAAGTTGACAAAAACTTGGACCAAAAACTCCAAGACAGGAACAGTTCCAGAAGAGTTCAAGTCAAGTTCAAGCTCAAGACAACTCCAAAAACCCCAAGTTCCAAGAACATGCAACAAACAAACATGTTATGATCCTCAGCTGCAGGGGTGTTTCATATGGCAAAGCCATCTTTCTTTGACCCCTTTACAGCTACATCATTGGATCATCCTCATACCTTAGTGCAACAAGGCTACAACAACGTTCAAGTTACTTACAAAAACGTTCAAGACAAGCACAAAAACGTTGCAAGACCATCCCAAAAACAGAGCAGTGAAAACTGTCGACAAGTTGAACTGCATAACCATGACAACTGGAAAACTGTTGCAAACAGAGTCCACATGTGTCCAACTGTATGCAAGTGGCATCAAACTAGTTACATAGTTGGCACACGCCGCATAGACGGCCGTGTGCCTTTCACCATTTGTCAACATTTTCCAGGGTTTTGGCACGAGGTTGATTTTACGCCCACGAGGGTCTGTGGATGGGGTGGGGTGGGGCATGTTAACGTTCCTTGTACGTTGCACACGTTGTTGATGTTCCGCAGCTGCCAGGATGTGGGGCAGGGGCTGGGGTGGGGTGGGGCATGTTAACGTTCCTTGTACGTTGCACACGTTGTTGATGTTCCGCAGCTGCCAGGATGTGGGGCAGGGGCTGGGGTGGGAAGGGCATGTTAACGTTGTTGCACACGTTGTTGATGTTCCGCAGCTGCCAGGATGTTTGAACGGCTCCCTGCTCATATCAATGCCACACAGAAGAAAGACGGTCACACTGTGCTTTCTCCAATAGTTTCGGAACTCGTGTTTCAATTTGCTTGGCGACGGCACCAAGGACCCATGTCACCAACTCAGTTCCTCACTGCGCTGCAACGTCTCCTGAAACATTGAAAAAAATGGGACGAAACGAAGATACGCAGATGTTCCTTGCAAGAAGTGCTGATGAACAAACGTCAGTGCGAGTTGCAAAAAGTGACCGAAACGCCACGGCCGTCTGTGCGGCGTGTACCTACTAGTTACAAGTGAAAACAGTTGACATCAACTCCCAAAACAATGAAATGAACATCACATGAACTGACATCACAAGAAATGAAGATTCCAAAACTGTTTCAACTGGCAAGAACCTACAAGCATGACAACAGCTTATGCAGTATGATTGAACGGCTTCTGCAAGACAGTTGAACGGCTCCTGGAAACAAACTGGATAACCCTGACGACTGTTTCCTTAAAACGGCTTCTGTATGCAGCTCTGTACTGACAGCTTCTGTTGTTTCTTGGACAGCTTATGCAAACCCTTGCACTGCAAAACAACACAGCAACAGCAATCTCTTTTTGGATCTCTTCTGCAAGTCTCTGAACTCACAGCTTTTAGTGACCCTGGAAACGACCAAACTAGGTGAACCTCGAGGGCGCTTGTGAGACGTTCTATTCTCCTAATCTAGCCCTCTCAGAGCATCATCCAATGAAGCCACAGTCACGGCTCATCCTCAAAGTCAAAACTCATCCAACCTCCTCTGCTGATCATCACAAAAGAGGAGCAGCTGGCCCTCATATTGCAGGATCTTTCTCACTCGGGAAGGAACTGCATTGACAATCTGCGATGCAAGTACTGCCCAATGGTAATCATCCCCAGCCCCCATGGTGAGCAGTGGGAGGCTGACACAGCCAAAGGCCCACCTGTGGAGAAACACAGGAACTAGCCACCTGCACTGCTTTGCCTTAGATCTGCAAACCCAGTCAAAGGCACAGTTGGCAAGACAGTGAGCAGTGAGTCCTTCTTCAAGAGTGGAGGATGTCGAATTTAAATGCATCTCCAGTCACACCTGTGATCTCTAACACGGTGCTCCAGTGGGGGATGCCCCAGCATGCGACACCATTGTTTCTCGCCAAACAGAACGAGGCCTGAAGTCATTGCATAGACGTGGCTTTCTGGCAGCAATGCTGGCACTTGTAACCATTCTGGTGGGTGAAAAAGACTGTGAGCCTGTGTGGTGGCAAAGCTGACTTGAGCCTTTTAGGAACAAGCCACATGTCTACTAGTTTTCTGGCTCCAGGTAGAACCTCTACTCTGCACAAGAGGAGCGCTGGAAAAGGGCAGCCCTGCAAAAGGGCAGCACAAATGCCCAATGCAGGACTGTGTAGCCGGTCCTTACGCCAGCCTTCACTGTTGGGTATATTGATGCGCCGTGAAGGCTTTTGTATTATGGCCCAATAGTTGCAGTTAATTCATTTCATGCACTAGTATGTTGATCGACCTGGCGAAAGCCAAGAGGCGATGGACGGAAAAAAAAGTACAAATGCCCAATGTAAAAACAAAATTTGAAGCAGCAAGCACCAACACCCTTGCAGATCGGGAACTTAGCCCACTAGCCCCTGTCTTCTGGAGAATTTTGCAAATGGAATGCACATCTCACTATGTGTACATGGTCTAATGTCTGTGTGGAACAATTTCTCTTGCAGCAGTTGTCAACCTGGTTCAGCCAAGGGGCCATCCATCCAGACTTTGGCAGCTGCCCAAAGTAGTGCCACAGGAAATGATGTTCAGAAAGCAGCCCTGGCAAAGCTCTTTTGCAGAGCATTTTTGCTCTTTCCCAGGGTATTGCCTTTTCTCAAGGCACTTTTGCCCTTTCCCAGGGCATTGCCTTTCCCAGGGCATTGCCTTTCCCAAGGCATTGCCTTTTCTCAAGACACATGCATTCAAGTGTTCTTCACTTCTTAGAAGCTTTCTGCACCTGTTGGCTCTTGTATCACGGCCCAATAGTTACAGTCAATTTATTTTATGCACTAGTGTGTTGATCGACCTGGCGAAAGCCAAAAGGCGATGGACGGAAAAAAAAAATCTTAGAAGCTTTCTGCACCTTTTTCATTGCCAAAGCTGCATCGAAGAGTGTGTCCTTCCAGCTTGCCAGGATCAACTCTCTTCCTTTCTTGGGAAGCTTCCAAAGCCTTCTGCCCTGCATTGTCACCTGTTTTCTTCACATTCTTGATCACTTTGATCATTTTCAAAACTCTCTTGGCTGCTCCTTGCTTCTGCTTTCGTCAGGTCACTCAGCACCTCTGCATCTTCCACTGCTTCAACGCAACTGTTAGTCTTGTGCAATCGCACTGCAGTCCACAACATGCTCCTGCACCATCGCTTTCATCACGCATGGAGCGCGGCATCCGTGTCTCTCTGCATCGTGGGGGGCAGGTGCCACATCCCGGATCGCAGCTATCGTGCAAACGGGGTGCGGTTTCATAAGTGGTGGCCGCAGAAATGCCACTGGATGACAAGGAGAATTTTTTTTCCGTCCATCGCCTCTTAGCTTTCGCCAGGTCGAT